TCATTCTGTAGCTTTGCTTCTCTCCTTGGGGGGAAGGGGGGGGGGGGGCTTGTGGTGCAAGGTCTGAAAATCCAAACATGGCTGACTTTGTCGAATTGAAAGACTGTACTAGGGATCAAGTGTTTCTATGTTCAAAAGAGGGCTGCACGCAAGTTTCCAACGGCACTCTTCTCTAGAAAAGCATCTCGCGTTGGGAACATGCACAAAGACGGTTGAAAGGGAGACACTTCTTGATAAAGCGAAGGTTAAATAAGCTGCAAGGCTCGAGGAAGGTTCAAGTTCCGTGCCAACTATTCCTCTACCTCCTGAAACCTGTCCTCGTAGCACTGGATATGTAACACTGCCTGAAGGCTTCGCTTTAAAACAAGTAAAGAAAGTTTACCGGTTTAACGAAAAGCAACGAGAGTACCTGACTTACCATCGGACAAGAAAGCGGTGAGAAGGTCGACGCGGAAATTGTTGCAACAGAAATGAGAAGAGCAAAGGAATTGAACGGGGAGCGCTTGTTCAGTGTCTCTGAGTTTTTTTTACTTAACAAGTAGCTTCATTTTTTTCCAGAATGGCAGCAAAAGTGAAACAGCAGACAGCCCCCTGCGCACAAGCTGTAACTGAGCAAGATCTCGTTGCTATGGAGGAAGAATTTAATTTGTCAAATGCTAAGGAGTCTATTTTTGAGCAGTTAAATGTAACTCATTCTATTCATTACCAACAGCACAACTGTCCCATGGTCGAGAATAACACACTCAAAAATCTCAAACTCGCAGTCTTAAAACTCCTTTGCGAGAGTTTCAATCTTGCATTACCACCTGGGGTTGATCATAGAAAAAAAGACATCTTACGTCGCTCTGCTCGAAGACCTTGTAGATGCTGCTCTTGCAGTACAGTTTAAAAGGCAAATGGCAAAAGGCTGCTTCAAAAAATTTAGTTTTATATGAACGTTGATATAAAACGGGGGCCGTAGAGCATATTTTGGATCGGAGGAGCTATTGCAGTTCCCACGTAGTGTGAGCTCATTGGCACCAACTTAAAATTATCTATGAGGGCCCTGGGGCCTCCCCTCCGAGGAGGGCCTCCTTTTGTCTGTTTCTTAGTACGCCTTTCTTAGTACAGAAAGACTGCTGACAGGGTGTCCTAGGGTATGCTCCCCCCGCAAATTTTGAAATCTAGAGCTTCTGAAATCACCGGAAACGCGTTTCAATCCAAGGAAAAATTTGTCAAATTTTTAATACAAAGATTAAAATAAATAACAATGATAATAACAAATTGTTCTTGGTGGGGCTACAGCCCACTCAACCCCATAGCTCCCCGGTCCCCGTATTAAAGGCGCAAACCGGAAATGAAAAAGTCCCCTTCGAACCGCACTTGGCAGTCAGACAGGATCAGGCCGGCTGGATGTTGTTCGATATAGACTCATAAAATAATTTATACAAGTAATATAAAACGAGATATATAGGACTGGATGCTTTAGAATGGAGTTTTGACGAAAAAAGGATTGTGTCCGCTTTACTCGGCAACTTCACCTTTGATCCAACTTGACAATTGTCACGCAATTGAAACATTTTGCTTTTCGTCGAGACAGTTACGAGAAATGAAACAAAAAACTCATTGGCTTAAAAAACGAATTAAACGCTAATATATAGATTTAGCCAAGCCTAAAAGCGGAACTCGCATTTTTTTCCCCGCACGTCTCAAGGGCACAACACCTTGCCCGGCCAGGACTAGAACCCGGGTCGTCCGACTCGTAACCCAGTGCACTGACCACTGGAGTACTGGACAAAGTCGTGGCGTTGGCGTGCCCGCGGTACAGTTGACCACGCATGTTAAAAGTAGCACGGTCGCACGGTCGCACGGTCGCACGGTCGCACGGTCGCACGGTCGCACGGTCGCACGGTCGCACGGTCGCACGGTCGCACGGTCGCACGGTCGCACGGTCGCACGGTCGCACGGTCGCACGGTCGCACGGTCGCACGGTCGCACGGTCGCACGGTCGCACGGTCGCACGGTCGCACGGTCGCACGGTCGCACGGTCGCACGGTCGCACGGTCGCACGGTCGCACGGTCGCACGGTCGCACGGTCGCACGGTCGCACGGTCGCACGGTCGCACGGTCGCACGGTCGCACGGTCGCACGGTCGCACGGTCGCACGGTCGCACGGTCGCACGGTCGCACGGTCGCACGGTCGCACGGTCGCACGGTCGCACGGTCGCACGGTCGCACGGTCGCACGGTCGCACGGTCGCACGGTCGCACGGTCGCACGGTCGCACGGTCGCACGGTCGCACGGTCGCACGGTCGCACGGTCGCACGGTCGCACGGTCGCACGGTCGCACGGTCGCACGGTCGCACGGTCGCACGGTCGCACGGTCGCACGGTCGCACGGTCGCACGGTCGCACGGTCGCACGGTCGTACAACCAAATTTTTTCGGCTTGATGCGTTACTACTATTTTTCATAATTATGGGGCTACACTCTGCGTGCTCCGCTACTGAATGCTGGTCATTATTCTTGTAAATATCATGTTGTAGCCATCAAAAGAGCCTTTCATACACCAGAACCGTTAGGCGGTACGATTTCTACAACTGATTTGCATCATGCAAATTCGTGACCTCTGGTCACAGTGCGTCGCAAACCTTTATGTTTTGCCGGCACGTTTCTGAATTACCCAGATTTTTTATTTCATATTGTGTTAGTATAAGGACCAAACTTTGTGCCAGCATGTAGTTTGACATGATGTCACACATACCAAGACGCGTTTTGAAGGCTTGAAGTTGCTCGATTTTTCGCTTTTTGCAACAAGCGTTTGACAGCACTTTGTTAAAAAATCATGTGAATTTTAAAATTAAACCAAAGCTCCTTAAAATGCCACAAATAAAAATCAAATTAATTATACTTTGAAGTAAAAACACCCCCGATTTCTTACCAAACATCCTCCTTCAGTACTCGCACACTAAAGTTGGTCAATTTTACTGTATTTTTTGCATAATTAATAAGGTAGAAACCCGTATTTTCGTTTTTCCCCATTTCCTCGGACACATTTGATTTTTCAAACTTTAAAATAATTTTTTTGAATGTATCTCCCAAAAAGTATTTTCCAGGCAAATTATCAGAATTTTCGATTTTTTTAGCCTGGCCAACGATTCTCGATATTTACCACGTATGCAATAACATTGAATTTAAGAGAGTTTTAGTTCCTCTGAGAAAATTAAAACATCTCTCCTCGTGAACGCGCAATGCTATTACTTATCTTTTTATGAGAGACTCTGGCGCTTAAACAGACAGAAAAAAGAAAAGATTTGTGCTCGTATGCCCGTCTATCGCGTCCTATTTAGGTCGACATTTTCAACAGTTAGTGGTCATATGATAAACTGCCTATTGACTGATTTTGGTTGGGCCGGACGGGAAAATATTTGGCTCTCGGTCATGAAGCAAGGACCTCGCTGCGCTCCTACCACTCAATCAATAAGTACACAGTATCATTCGGTTTTGTACGTCACACTTTAATCACTCATGATGTAATTAAACATGAAAAATGAAAAGAGTTATTCTATTTTTAATGGGGAACGTCAAGCTTAAGTGTTGAGTCTTTGAAAAGTTTGATTTACATCACAAGATTGATCACGGTACAACCTAAGTTTTTTTCTTTAAACGGCAACCTATCATTGCGTGACAATCGACTCCTTGTCTTCGTGAACTTTTCATTTCCAGCGGAGGTGATTTGCATGATCGAAGCCAGAATTGCTGAAAAAACTGAGTGACTGTATTTCGGTTTAGCACGTCACACTTTTCTGACTAATGGTGGATTTTAGCGTCCAAAAATGAAACATTTTACTCTGTTTAACCAAAACGACAGGCTTCAGTGTTTACCCCTTTTGGAACGATTGGATTTGCTTGACGAGATCGATAAGATCGAGAGTATAACTAAAGCTTCTGTCTTTAAACAGTAAGCTATCCGTGCGTGAAAATTGACTCATTGAACTCATGAACTTTTCATTTTCTTATGGGTGTGATTCATAAATTAATGGTTTGTTTTTTCTCGAAAGGTGAGCCTGATGTCAGCCTCTACTGAAATCAATAACGAACATTCTGCATTATGAATATGCCTTGATGTAGGATTGAGTTTAGTTTTTGATCACGTGATTGTGGAAACCGTCAGTTTTTCAAATTAAACAATGCTGAAAAATCTTAGTTAATGAGGCTAGAATATATTGTATAAAACCCTTACGGTTTGAAGAAAGCAATTTTACGGTAAGGATATGAAGCATCCGATCAACGGAAAAGTACGCTTATAATATGTATGTAATAACAGTGAATTTAAGAAAGTTTCAGTTTCTCTGAATCAAAACATCTCTCTTCGTGAGCGCGCAGCGTCATGACTTATCTTCTTATGCGAGACTCTGGCGCATGAACAGACAAAAAAACAGATTACGGCGTTTAGAAAATTATGTACTGTAGAACCCGCCGCTAGTATCCAAAAATTTAAGAGAATGGTATCTCGACCATGAAACGCTTGTGTACATGTAGAACGGAAATTCAATTCGAATCTACTGCGATCTCTGAATCGATCGTTAAATACTCCTAAAACAAAATCAAGTTAATAGCTAATGCAGATCATAGCCACTGGAAAACCACGTAATGAAGCACTACGGATTTCCTATGATATCAGCGTTGGACAGTCCACACCATAAATAGAGGTCTGAATTTAGTTTTGTGATCATCAACTTCTCAAATTGAACGATATTCAATAACCTTAATTAATGCAGATAAATTATACGGTATGAAGCCACAGAGATTTGAAAAAGTCGCCGTAGAACCAATTTATTTCACTGTGGTGACGATTCAATCGCGCCATCAACCGCTCTAACGAAGGGTTAACACTCGAAACGTGACAAATAGCAAACAGAAAAATCAAGAAAGCAGCAAAGAGCCTAACCTCGATACAGTTACTAAATAACTAAAGCTGATAAAAACTGAGTGATTAGAAAAGATTTTCAATCGCACTTACCAAGATGTTGACAATGTGGCTGATGCTTTCAAAATGAAACAACAAAAATGTCTCCTTACTCGGAACTGGTTAGATCAAATGACCACCACAAACGCTATAATATCAAGCCAAGCTTTAATAATTATTCGATCTAAAAGAAATACATTTATAATTCGCAATTAGAACAAATGCAAATCAAGTCTTTATCTTGTAACTAAATTCAAAAACTTCAGTATAAACTTACCTCTGTGGCGGGTCGTTACAACAGTCTCACTCTACGGGTTAGCAGATTCTCCAGGTAAGCGGATTTAGAGACAGAAAAACGATAACAAAATAACTTCTTCCTCACTTCGATTCTGCTGAAAAACTGACTTGAAACATAATAATCTAACGCTTTTAAATCAATCTATTGAATTACTGTCAATCACGATTCTTGTCATCGAATAAATCTGTCAGCAAGAGGCGAAACGAAACAAAAAATAAGGAACCACTTTTCCCAACCTTCCGAACTTCCGCTGTCACAGTGTTCTAGGTATCCAGATCACGTGTGTTTAGATTATTCCCATCTCCCCTCTGGGCTAATCGAAACAAAAAGGAAAAGTTTCAATTGCATATTTTTGTGTGCCCGACGGTGTGCCTGTCTATCGCGTCCCATTTAGGTTGAAATTTTCAACAGTTAGACGCGGAATGTTCGTTACTGATTTCAGCAGAGGCTGACATCAGGCTCGCGTCTCGTGAAAAAACAAACCATTAATTTATGAATCACACCCACATGAAAATGAAAAGTTCATGGGTGCAACGAGACAGAAGCTTTAGTTGTACTCTCGATCTCATCGATCTCGTCAAGCAAATCCAATCGTTCCAAAAGGGGTGAACACTGAAACCTGACGTTTTGGTTAAACAGAGTAAGATGTTTCATTTTTGGACGCTAAAATCCATCATTAGTCAGAAAAGTGTGACGTGCTAAACCGAAATATAGTCACTGATAGGCACTGATAGGCAATGATAGGTTACCGTTTAAAGAAAAGAACTTAGGTTGTACCGTGATCAATCTTGTGATGTAAATCAAACTTTTCAAAGACTCAACACTTAAGCTTGACGTTCCCCATTAAAAATAGAATAACATTTTTCATTTTTCATGTTCAATTACAGCATGAGTGGTAAAAGTGTCATTTACAAAACCGAATGATACTGTGTACTTATTGATTGAGTGGTAGGAGCGCAGCGAGGTCCTTGCTTCATGACCGAGAGCCAAATATTTTCCCGTCCGGCCCAACCAAACTCAGTCAATAAGCAGTTTATCATATGACCACTAACTGTTGAAAATTTTGACCAAAATAGGACGCGATAGACGGGCATAAGATCACAAATCTTTTTTTTTTTCTGTCTGTTTAAGCGCCAGAGTCTCGCATAAGAAGATAAGTCATGACACTGCGCGCTCACGAGGAGAGATGTTTTAATTTTCTCAGAGGAACAAAATCTTTCTATATTATTGAATTAAAACTTTCAATGTTATTGCATACATAGTATAAGCGTACTTTTCCGTTGAACGGATGCTTCATATCCCCGCCGTCAAATGGCTTTCTTCAAACCGTTAAGGATTTCAACCTCATTAGTTAAGATTGTTAAGCATTGTTTAATTTGAGAAACTGATGCCGGGTTCCACAATCACGTGATCGAAAACTAAAGTCAATCCTTTTTTAAGACATATTTATTATGCAGAATGTCCTTTACTGATGTCAGCAGAGGCGGCCCAAGCTCACGTCTCGAGAAAAGGCAAACGATTAATTCATGAGAGCGTCACGCGTTGTGTGACTCGGTGTTAAGTTAGGAGAGTTGAACATGTTATAAAGAATAGTATAGGGAACGAATTCGAAATATGGTCGATTTGAAATTATAAAGTGTGACGTGCAAAACCGAAATAGACTCACTGCGGAGTAAACTGCTGATCAGTTTTCCATATTAGTTCATGAAAAGTTGATTATCGCGCACAGATAGCTTACCGTTTAAAGGAGGAAGCTTTCGTTCTACTGGTATCGATCTTGTGATGAAATTCCAATTTTCACGTAATGTAATTGTCATGTAAATCACACCCGCTAGAAAATGAAAAGTTCATGAAGACAATGAGTCCATTATCACGCAAAGATAGCTTAGCGTTAAAAAAAATTAAACTTAGGTTGTACTGTGGTCGATCTTCATGTAAAGACGACAAATATGCAACAAAATGCGCAGTAAACATCGAAATGTAAGAAAACAAGGAAAATTTTGGAAAAACATTTGGAAAATCGTTTTACGCGCCCTACTTTCAAAGAAACCATGGAAAACTATATATCGCTAAAAAGCTTATGAAGTATAGAAGAAAAGTTTTAAAAGTTTCTTTTTTTCCAGCAAATTTAATTTCAATGTTTTCTCTAAATAAGGAGCAAATGAAACGAAAGTTTGAAAACTTGACCAGATCTTGTTGACAGTAACCTCAAATCAAAAGTCATAATTCCTTTTTGATTGCATTTGCTACATTACAAAAATGAAGAAGCCAGATTTCATATCTAGTTCAACTGTTCAATCAATAACTTGTTGGTGTGGAAATTGAAGATATAATTAAATTTTAAATACATAATTTTATATTTCCAATATTGAATGCTAAACGCTATGAGTCAAGAGAACAACACAGTTCTATACACTGAAATACTGTTTATTTCATCTAAGCAAAATCTTCTGACACGAGTGGTGCAAACATGAACGTACGTCAAATCGTTCAGAGCTCAGTGAACAATAAAGAGCTTTGTTCGCCTTCGTGTTGTCATACCTCACGCACTTTCTGTCAATCTTGATTGCAACAGACGACACGCAAGCCATGTGCAACAAGCTGTAATATTTCTATGCAATGATAAACGTTGGAAAATACCAAGGGACACTTCGTTGCGGCTGAACGAAGACAAAAATCATGCTGCCCAGGTCTCGAATGCTGGATGATAAATTGATTTTAAAAGAGTGACATATAGTTGCCCTTTTGTTGTGCTCTGAGCAAACACCGGTCCCTCGTAAAAATGTCGATTTTGAAATTAACGCAGAGGTCATATAATCGAAAGAACTCAGTGGCGCTGATTGCAAAATGAGAAACTTTACAAAGTGAGGCTACATTTTCCAGGATAAACAAATAGTGACGTAGCTCCATTAAATTTCCTGAACATGAGAGTCATCCAATATATTGACCACATATTTAAACATTAAGTCAAGTACATGTGTGTTCAAATTGTGTCAATATTGGTTGAAAGCGAAGGTAGTTGATTAATTTACCTTACTCGACCGATACTGTTCCAATGCTGGACTCACGCTTAAAGACCAGCGGTTATTTTCAAGTAGGCCCAAAATTACCGACCAATTGCCTAAATTAAGATAAAGTTTGCTTTTTGGATGTTTCTCAGATGTCATTGGCTAATTTTCACCTGGTTAAGATGTCACTTTTTTACCTATGTATTTTCTACCCTTCTTTAACTTCATTCGCTTGCTGTTTATCGGAATAGTAATTAATTGCTTATCTGTTTAAGTTGTCAAATATTCCACTTTTCGCATGATTCAATTCCGATCTCTCCAGATTCACCGTAGAAGGAAATATCTCAGTCAGAAAACAACTGGTTTCCTTGAATTCCCATCCTGTTATCACTGAAAACTTTCCACAATATTCTCTTCGAATAGCTTGTTTTGAAGCCAAAACAAAGGTAAAATACAAAATATACCACCGACAGATATTGGCTACGTAAGTAACTAGAGAAAAGGCTGTAAAACGGACAATTAAGAAAATGCACGGTCCTTGAAGGCAGCTGTTCCTCAGTGAAGGCGAGGCTGATCTTTGGCGAGGAAAATGGCTGTTGTACAGTTCTGTATTTTAGCGCCGTTTGTAGCTTCCAAAAAAAGTAGCAGTATGTATAACATGTACCCCAACATGATCATGCTCGATGACAAAGGAAATTACAATGTTTCCTACAACTACAATGAGTCCGCGGACACACTGGAGTTTATGGTGCAAGTAAGAACCACAGTTTAGGTTGGTTTCGGTGTTGCTGAAGTAGCATCAAATAATATGAGTTACTATGATGTGGCAATAGGAGGAGTAACAGATGACGGAACAAGCTATCTGCAGCTAGGTCGGAATGACAAATCTTTTAGATTTTGTTTGTTAGATAGTTTGAAACTATCTAAAAAACAAGAAAAACTTCGCGAGATTCGATTTTACATCTCACGTCCCCGATATTACGTTTTGTGTCTAACTTCTTTAATTTTCCCTTTAAAGTCAAGACACTAATTTCTGACCGCGAAAATATTCAAATTAAAGTGAAGAATTTAGCTTACAAAGTTTAGTGGAGAAATGGACGCAAGTCTCTTAGTTTAGAGAGAAATGGCATGTTTATTGTTTATATAAAACAGTCTAAACCATTTAAGTATTAGTATACTCACATATTGTTGCTTGACGAGTTTCGTCTTTTATTACTAGTGTTTCATCATACTTTATTTTTTAGCTTGAGCTTCCTTTTAGTCGACTTCCCCCCCACGTCCATCCTGTGGAAAATCATTACATCAACTCTTGAAATTCTTGCAAATGAGCCTAGTTATTTTGAAGTATAATATACAGATTTGGCTAAGCCTTAAAGCAACAAAATTAAGCCCCTTTTGTTGACAAAGCGCGTATTTTAATGGATTTTAATCCGCAACGTCCCCGTCTTCCTGTAGGGAACTTATTCTATTGTAGACGCTGTAGGGTTGCATTTTAAAGTCAATACGCAAAATTTGGGGGCCTCCAACATTTTCGAAAACAGGAACGAAAATTGTGGAAACCGTTAAAAAGTTTTCCCGACAATATCCAACCAGAAAATGCCAGGACACGTTTAATATTGGGGCGTGTATGGGCAAGTATGTGAAATTGTAGTCTCCACCTCTCAAAACACTGCTAGTTCTCATAACGCAGGACAAATGGACATCATATTATATCTCAAATAATTGGTATCCATAAACGCAGAAGGCGCTCAGAAACTTACTAAGCAACCAGATTAAACGAGGCACTACTTTTAAAAACAGCAATAGACGTGGAAAATAAGACCCCGAATTTGAAAGAGGCGATGTTGCTCTCTAACAATTGACAGCTTGGATGTCGCGCCAGATGAAGGAAATGCCGGGCAGCATCTATTTTCCTGCCATCTCTCATTGTGATTTAAGGTGAGTGGTGCACTCAAACGCTCTCGTTCCATACAGTTATTTGGAACTGAATTAACTGCAAGACATAGTGATAGCAAAGGAATGAATTTGGGTTGTTATTATTACTTTCATCGTAATATACTTACTGTAATAAAATTGGAATAAACAATCATGTAGAAATTATGGCATTTGTTTTTTCAGATGTCAGATCAGTTTACTTTGCGACACAAATCATTCTTGAAAATCTAATTGGAGGTTCAAAACGGCCATTTCAAATGAATACTCACACATACTCTTGAATAATCTTTGGCAAGGGACTTAACAGTTTACTTAGAGTCACTTTATTAAGACTTTTATAGCTGCATGTTACTAACAAACTTATTTACACAATTAAAATGGAAACATTTCAATTTATTCCCACACATAGTCTTCATTTAAACCAAGAAGGTGAGTGCTAGTTTTACAACAGAATGTTAACTTACTTCAACCACAATTGTGAAACTAGATTAAGATTTAAATGTTCGTAAAATTACATATGCATAATAAATAATGCATTATTCAATTATGCAATAAATATATTCCGCAACCACATGAAAAAAACATAATTTAGATGGTCAATTTAAAAAAAATATTTTCCACAACACAATTACATAAGTTTACTGTTTATACTAAAGATGGTGAAGATCTACACAAAGAACCACCTCCTTGAGGTGGAGATTTGGGTAAATGTGTACTGGAAAATTGTATTTCCTTTTCTTCCATGTTGCTATGATTCCACAAAATGTCATGCATCTGTAAACAATATATAGTCTATCCTCTCTTTGAGAAGTTGGAAAAGTGACATCACAGCCTCTTTAAAAGTTGTGTTAGGTTAGCTCACTGTTTTCCTTTACCATTATTTAAATAAAATACCTCTTCTTCAAATTGACAACAGATGATGACGATCTACCAGCCCCTGCCGGCAGTGATTTAGGTAAGTTTCCACTGTAAGACAATATTTTCTTTTCGTCTATAGTGCTATGATTCCACAACATGTCATGCACTTGTAAACAGTCAATGGTCTTTCCTCTTTCTAGGAAGTTGGAAAAGTGACACCATAGCCTCCTTGAAATACAACTTTCCTGTTAAAGTCTAAGTAATATGAAATGTTGTTTAGTTAGCAAACTGTTTTTCCTTTGGCCATTTCCAATAAAGTAGAAGTTCATAAATTTGCAATATTACTATCACTTGGTTCAATATTTTCACTTCAGAGAAACCTTTTCTAATACAGTTATAGAACTTGTGCAGTATTTTTAATAAACTTGTTCAAACCAAGTATTGTTTTTTTCATAAAATAGATGTGGACAAGAAAAATAATAAAAAAGAGAAGGTGTGGAAGAAGTGGAATGGTGAAGTAAAGTAAACAGTAACCTAACAACAACTGACATTACAATAAACTAGGCTAACATTTGTTTTAGATGTCATTTTCCACAGTATTCAGAAAATCTTTAATTTATCATGCTCATGCAAAAAGAAATTGAATTTTAGAAACAATATAGGACCCAAGAGATATTTTTCAATCTGCAACAAACAGAGATTATTCCATGGAAAGTCTGCGCAAATGAGTTTTATTGCATCAAAAAATAAATAAATAAATAAATGTGTGAGCACAGTGAGCTTGTGAGTTTTTTGATCAATGCAACAAGTGGATAAAAATTGTTTTAAGCGCTTTCCATGTTATGATGTTTTCGTTTCATACATACTAGGCTTATTTCTTACTGTTTAACAGAGATTGGAAGCTAACGACTGTGAAAACACATCCTTCGTTCAATTAGAGCCACAAATGAAAGTATTTAACAATGTAAATCCCTATTTTTACCAAAATAAATTCCATTTCTCAACAGTTCTCAAATAGAAGATTAAATAATTTCTCAGAGATTTAAAGGTGAGAAAAAAGAAGTTGATACCATATGATAATTTTTAACTGTTTCAATACATACACATATACAAAGACTATTTCATTTCCAGTTATGACAAAAGCTGCAGTATGCAGACATTGTAGGAAAGATAAGAATCTATGATGATACAAATAGGGATTTTAGGGTAATAGGGTTACTTATTTAGATCTTGTGAGTATAGTTGTCTTATCACACCTTTTAATTGGTTTCGTGCTTTTTTTTTCTCTCAAAGGAATAAAATAATGTTTTAACTGCAGAGAGAGGGGCCAGTCCCATAAATCTTTCACCTAGAAGGACTTAACCCTGGATAAATTTGAAAAGAATTGAGAACCATCAACCATTATACACATGTTTAGTAATAATGCCTATGGACATTCCACCACATAGGCAGTGCCGCTGACTCGTAGGGTAACGTGTGTATTACATTGTACTGTCCAACAGCACCCCTCAAAACGGCTATCTCAGGGTTTCCACAATAACTTTGATGAGTAGCAAAATCACGCGACGTTCTCTATTGAATTATTTAAAAAACCTTAGATAGTAAAAATATGGAACGATTACTAAGACAGTTCCAAGAATTAACAAGCAAATAAGTATCAAAGGCAAATTACTTAAATAAGAATTTTTTTTCATCATGGTTAACAGTCTTTATTAATACGCGTCAGTGGCAAAATAAAAAACGGAAAGTGAGAAAGGCTAACTGACTAAAAGAAACGAATGAGTAGCTTTCGTGCGACTCCCCGCTGACCAAACTGCGAACAACTTTGTACTTACCTCATCTGAATGAGTTAAAGTCGGTCATTAAGACTTGCAAGAAAAACTCCACTGCAATCTGGAATCTTATCAAGGCTTCTTTCAAAGTTGTTGTTATGAAGCGTGGGACGAAAGGATGAGAATCGTGAAAAATATCTCCAACGGAAGCCCAAACACAGGCCGTTTCCGAGACCACGTGATGTACCTCAAAGGTTTCAATATGATGGAAGTTGTAAGTAATTACGTAAGAGGCTGGCCAGCGGATTATTCAGGCGGCATTAAAGCTCGAAATAGAAAAAATCTATTGGTTGCCCGCAATTACCTCGACGACACAGGTATTTTTTTGTATACTCACAGAACAATCAACCCATGTCTCTATAATGGTTTGAAGAACGTTGTCATCTACAGAAATCACATTGTACAACGAACCAATCCTGGTCATCTCACAAGTGGTATTTATTACGAGCCCCATGATATCGGGATAGATTGGAACATCACTTACTCCGCTATCGTATTTGAGATCGTTGGAGTAAGCGACCCCACTAATAACATATGTATCTGGCTGACCAATGGCGATCTTTCTCAACATCACGTGCTCCAAGACAACGTCTATTATGGTAGCAAAATGCCTGTGAAGCTGTATGCTGACGACAGTACTCCATTGCATGAAACAAAGAAAAACAACGATAGTATTACAAATTAATACAACTATCCGCTGTACAAGCTAAACATTCCCCCTTATTAGACGGTGCTAACATTTATTGTTATTTGATTATCGAACTTTATTTGCATTGGTGATCGAAGAATTATCCTTTAAGGATCACAGCGCTCCAGAAGGATTGGAGCGAGTGATGAAAGAATCAGTTTTTTCTAATTATAATCAAAGCGTTCTTAGATAAAAAGATGGAACCACTGTAAGTTGGGAACTTGCGCGAGAGATATTTTTGCCTGGTTGCCAAGAAGTTGCGACTTTGCGATCGTCGGTTAAAGGCATACGCTTTGATACTCGCGCCGTCTAACCTTCAAGCATTAAAACTTATGCCAAAATGCCTTCTGCAGCTGATTGAATGACTGATTGGCTAATTTATGACTTTATTTATTTACGGGAAAAAAGTTCCTTCAACTTGATTTATAAGTAAAATATCTAATTCTGCTTGGCTAATCTATCAAATAAAACAAGATAAAGCCTGTCATATACTAAGGCTGCTATTCTAAGATAGCGCGTCTCATTCGAAGCTGGGATGAAATGATCTGTGTTTGAGTTCATTTAAGGAAGCTGCAGAACTCAGATCTTGGGATAGGCTGTTACACACCTTTGCATCTTCGTAAGGGATATTCGTGTGGAGCTTTGCACGTCATCATTGATATAGCTACCAGCCTTTGATGATTTGATAATTAGCACGACAGAAGTCAAAATTTGATTGGATTAAACTATTGTACACATCTAATATACGGCTGTAAATATATGAAAGTCATATATTTGAACTGTGGATAAAGACGTGAATATGAAAGTGATCTTCGCGGTAAAAAACAATACTTGAGCAGTAGTGAAAATAAGGCCTGAGTCCCGTTCAGGCCTTAATTTTTTTTAGGCCTTATTTTCACTACTGCTCAAGTAGTGTTCATTACTGCGAAGATCACCTTCATATTCACATCTAATATTACATCAGAAGGAATATGATTGAGAAGGGAATTGAGATGGGAATTTTGAGCCTGGTTACCAAGCTGAGACTTACGGTAACGATGGCAACAGGTAAGTTCGCCTCCATCGCGTTAATTGTAGTTTGATGTTTGAAGTTTATTAATTTATAAATACATGGCAGTTCGAAAACTAAATTGCGTATTTACACAACAAAAATTAAACTACACAAATCTAATCATTAACTAATCTATCTTAAATAAAAGGATGAAAAAAAAAATTAAAAATTAAAAAAAAAAAAGCCCGCAGGAGATAAGGTGCCAAGAAAATTATCATAGGTTCGCTCCCTGACTTAAAACCAGTTTGCCATCACCTGAACCAGTTCGCCAACCTTCCTTGGGTCGAATTGATGTTTGTTATGCTTTCTTATTTTTCACTTAGGTCACATCATTTCTTTTGGCACTTACCAAAGCTCGAACGAGATGCGACTTTCCAACTAAATTCAATTTATACCCTGGTTTACCGAGATCAAGGACGCAAAAGCCGAGATCCCCACGAACATATCAAAATTTTTATAGAATGAACGATCGAGTGAAACTCGGAACCCGAGGCTTTCCGTTTGTTTTAGTTACGTGAAGAGTCCTTAAGGTAGGCGTCAGTGCTTTCCGGTCATCTAAGGTCTTGCGACCCCTGAGGTAAAAGTTTTCTGAATAATGTATGCTAATGGTGCAAAATTAATGATGTTAATTATTTTCGTCCGGTGCGCAGTACTCTTTTATCTCTGGCCACAGATTCTCATACATAGATTTTACTTCAGAAGCCAGCGGTACATGACGATCTCTGTAATCAAATCCTGGTGACATCTTCTCTGAGATCAACGTGAAAGGTGTTTCGCCCGGATACTTTTCATACTCGCTAGACTCGTCGATTAAAATTTTGGCTGCCTTAAGACAGCCACCTGGAACCCTTTGTTGAAGAACGTGGCCCTTTAAAATGTCTTTACCTAAGATAAACTCTTCAACTTTGCCCTCTTGTGTTATATAGATGTATTTAGCTGGCCATCCATCGTGAAAAAAGTGGGTGATGTCACTCTTGTTCTTATTAAAAAAGTTTTTTCCTCCCAGTTCAGGCGCAATCAGGTAGAAAATTGTTGTGAATAAGCTCCTCTCTGTTCCTTCGCGTCCTTCAACTGGAATCGTCTCGGGAGATCGATAAGTTTCGCTAAAGTAACCTCCTTCCTCGGAGAGTGGAATCAAACCCAGCTTTTTGACATAGATGTCTTTCCGATTGCTCATTTTGGCGCTTGCACGAGATCACAAATTTTATCGGAGCGACACAAAGTTAAATCGTCGACCGTTTAAAATAATGCTGAATATTTATGCTCGAAAGGCATTTCACTTTAGAAACAGTTGAATGCCCACAGCTTCCTATACGTCAATCACTTCTGATGTACGAATGATAATGAGGGCACGGCGATCTGATTTTGTTTTTTTTTTAGAGCGCTAATTACCACTTAACGACGATCTGATTCGACAATGTTTATTTTTTAAACAGATAAGGATATAACTTCGAGCCAACTTCGGGATGCACTTTTTCTTTTTTAAATTACAAACATCAACGCTGTTTATTTATGTTACCACTCTGCCTCTCTTCCTGCCACTCGAAGTCCTTGGCTGTTCACAACCTTTTTCTAAGTTTAATCTTCTTTAAGTAGAGTTATCTTTAAGATAATATTCAAGGGGCTCGTTTTCATTTAATAAATGTTTACAAAAATGACTGTCGTTAACCATGCAAGTTATAATAATTTTTCTTTGATCCTCTCACTCCCAGGAGTGTTAAGACATCATTTCTCCTTACAATATCAATTCAATATCAAACAGAGACGTGATGAGAATAAATCAATACATATCAATTATGGGATTATGAGTTGATCCAATACTAAATTCTTAAATTAGGGGATTATTGGTTGATCCAATACCAAATTCTCAGACTTAACATCGCAAGAAATGTAGTGGGAGCGATTGAGAGAATTAATAATGAGATATTGGGGGTGAAAGGGTTGAATTGTGTATGGATGCTTTAAAAAGGAAAGTGATAGTTGAATCGCAATTAGTTCGAACCGTCAAGCATTACCGTTTAGGACATAAATTTGAGGCAGTTGGACAAAAGACAGATGCCAAGACTACCTTAAACAGCTCAACTCCAAATTCGCTCTGACGAAGGGCCAAAGCTCAAAACGACACCTTAGAAACTCTTTACGGTAGTTGCGAATCCGGTGGCCAATTTTCATTATCAACTCAGTGATACAACCAAATTATTTGTTATACTCCACCACCGACGCAGCAACACAGTTTGTTTAGAATCTACCCTTTATTCATTCAATAAAAGAATTCGCTAATTTAGTAAAATAAAGGGGACTAGTTTATCGTAGTATCAGTGATTTTCACGAAGAAAGAAAAAAAGAAAAGGAAAACCGGTAACACGACCAGAATCAACTTCCTGTACGTATTATGATTTCCTGCTGAGCTAAACGGAGAACGACTGTGCGCGTGCCCACTCGTACCCTCGCATGCTCTATCGCACGTTCCTTACATCGCGCACCGCGTAACTTCTTGTCAAGTGTCCATACCTGTCTCTTATGGTACTTTGGACCTAAGATTTAGAGTTGACATGATCATCACCACTGACGTATCGACATATCAGCTGGGACGCTTAGCTTACTGCCTCCCCTGCCCCCTTTACTGTTGGTCTTCAAGATTACAAGGACACTTTGGAAATTAACTTTATCGGAAAGGCGAAAGGGACGAAAGGACATCATAACCGTTGTTCCGGAGAAGGGACTTGAGTACTTACGTCTGGAAGTGTAGATTAGACGAACTGTTTAGTTGCCGCTAAGAACTAAGGACAGTTAAATTGTCTTACATGACATATACTCTTGTTTCGGTGTCTGTTACTTTTTGGTGTCACGCGAAGGAGACAGTTTACTTCAGAGAAAACCTTCTTTGATTTAAGATGCCTTTTTTCGATCTGAAAACAAATGTTAAGGATGTTCCAGCAGAGTTTCATAAGGAGACCACAGACCTCATCGCAAATCTTCTTGGAAAACCAAATTCTGTAAGTGTCCAAACATTTGGATTAATTTTGGTGCGTGGCAATCGCAAACCGAATCAAGTCATTTCAGATATTTCCAAGCCCCTAGAGCTAAATTAAACTATTTTAGCGGTACCTTCTATTGATTGAATGGTGATCGATTCTAGAAGATGTACAAAATTTAGATCAGGTATTATCGTCAGCTATAAGATATCTGATGAATGGAGGTTTAAACGGAATGAACGAGGAAATAATATTTGCAATTTTAATTTGAAGGTTAACGATCAAAACGAAAACTTACTAGCATTTTATGGAAATTGTTTCGAGTGCAGAGGAGCTGAAACGAATTTAAGACATAAAATTACTGAAAAAGTCTAACATCTCTGTAGTCTGTAAAGCATCGTAGAGGTAAAACAACACCATTCTGATTGGCTGAAAACGAGTCCATTCTCATGTAACACGAGTGTAAAGTGGGAACAGGAGTACATATTACAAGAAGCATACGCATGCTTTCAAAATCTTGTCTGTCTGACTTACTGCTTTGTTATTTTATGTGCATTATTATTAATAAGTAGTGATGTGATTTCTGTTGCAATTTGGTATAATATGCACAAGTCAATTTTTCTAAGACAATAAATTACACTTGCCGTACAAGCTCATGTAATTTTGTAGTCTTTGAAAAACTTACTCTTGCTTAATTTAACAAATTGCATTCTTAATCATGTTATGACCCAACTAATTTATGATGAATGGTGGCAAGCAGACATTACAGGAGGGGGTTGGGGGGGTGGGGGGTAGTGCAGATCCTTGGACTTTCCCCCAGGATCATCCACTGCAAAGGGGAAAGGAAATAAAGTTCACTCCTTTTTTCGCTCTCCTTACTGGGAGGATATTTGGCCACACATAGGTGATGTATAAGATGGGCATAGACTTGTGTCTGAACATCACCATGACTTTTTGTGGTTACAGGGTTACTAGTAGCCATAATGCTATCATCTTGTAAGTAAGAGACTTTTAGTGATTTTTCGGCAGCTGGAAGTGAAATTGTTGAGTTTCACTTTTAGCATCTCTTCTGCAATTTGATTGTTAAAAGTTCATTTTTGAAATGGATGATCCATCATGGATAATCCCTATGCAAATGTGGAATTTTGGGAAAGAATAAGTAAATTCTTTGTGAAATGTGGCATCTACAATCCTCTGCAAGAATCTAAGAATGCATGGTGGCTACTTTAAAAACTAACAAATAAAACTCTGAGATGAGGTTGGCTGAATTTAGCAAAAATGTTCGAGACTGTGAGCATTTGACCTGATTCAATGTAATGGTGTTATAAAATGGTCCATTAATGAGGACATGGGCAAATTCTCCCCGAGATGACCTGCTGCTGAATAATAAAACTGGCATGTATATGTCTATCCAATGTGTTCTTAATTAACTTTTGCCCAGAAAAATCAGAAATACATTCACCTGGTTACCTGTGCAGTCTCATACTCTTTGCACCAGTCAGTCACCAGTATGTAACTTATAATTTACTAATTTGCACTTGACATTTACTATACAGGTGGTTGGAGTGAATGTTGATGCTGGTGCAAGATATACATTTGGGGGGACTGAAGATCCAGCTGGAGTTGTTAATATCTATTCTGCAGGAAGTCTAGCAGTTGATAAAAACAATTCCTCTGCTAAAGTAATTTCTGAGCACCTTCAGAAACATTTCAACATCCCAAGTGGCAGGTAGGTTGTAACAGTACAGAAAAAGCAGAAGGGCAGAAATTTGTCATCATATACATCTATACCATCATGATGTAACATTACTTAGCTTTCAAAAGATGTAGCATATGCAAAACCATTTTTTTTCTTTTTCTTTTTTTTTGGGACATAAGGAGATGCAAATGGAACTTAAACAATTGCTGTCAAGTTTTCCTTCCAGACCTCGCAAATTTTCGAACTTCAACATTGTTGTTTTGCACAGGATGGTTAAGAAATTATCACTTGAGGGATATCCCTGGGTATCCCCCAGTATTAAATGGGAATATTCAGTCATGTGATCCATTTAGACCAATCACACACAAGCAAAATTTATGGATCAAATGTATTGTTAGCATAGGGACATGCCTCATTTCTAGCACTTTGGCACAAGTGTCTCTTCACCCAGTGGAAAGTACAAAGTATTGAGTAACACAAGCTGGCAGGAGTTCTGTAAGGAGTCTTGTAGTGATGTTTAATGCAAGACTCAGGAAAACCTCTCCCTGACTGGTAAAATCAATCCCTTGGGCAGAAAAATGTGCACCCTGTAGCACTAATAATTAGGTCTGCTCAGTGGCCAATGCATTATGGCCACAACATTCTTCAACCCTTCATGATACTTTGTGTAATGATGTTTTGTGATCTCTGACGGAAGTCCATCAATTTTGAACAATATTTTTTTTCTTTGCAGGCTTCTCATCTTTTTCCATGATATGCCAAGAACCCACGTAGGTTTTAATGGAAAAACCTTGGCAAGCTAAAATCATCCGTCTCTCATAAACTGATGAAAGAAATAATAGGTCTTGTACTTGTAATTTTAGTAAACATCAAAGTAGACTACAAGCAGTCTCTCCTTTTTAGGTGAAGTCTGTTGTGTGACTAAAAACAAATCAGTTAAAAGAGATTGATGTTAGAGAACCATGCAAAACTCTGGAAGTCTGGTGCATGAAAAGTAGTGACTACACACTGAGCCTGAGATTTCCACCAACTTTTTCATGTGCCTCACTCCCTACGTTCTGCATAACATGCTACACGACATTTTTTCAGTGAGTTTTTTTTAAATTGCACAACAGACTTTGCTGGAAAGCAAGGACTACTTGTACCTGAACATCAAAGGAGGAAACAGACAAAATAAAAGACAACAAAAACATTTCACTTGTGTTTTATTGGTGATATCATATCCTCTTTTTCACCTTGACCTCGGTTCACTTAGAAGGAGAGAAGCAAGCTATATGCAATTCACTACCACTATTGAATCACAAAATGAATATAATCACTGAAAGAAAATTACTTTTTATGTTCAGTAGTTCTGTGTTCGGTTTGCCTGTCTTACACACTACAGCAAGAATTTTAGAGTTTGCTACACTAATTCTGAGCCACCCTATGTACTGAACAGAAAAAAACAAACAGTGAAGTTCAGTTAATACTGATGGTTTGCCACAAATAAGCTTTCTCCCCCAGCAATGCTAGCACTTCCAGTATACTCTCCTTTGGAAGCCATTCCATTAGCTGCAGCGCGCTTCAGAAACTCTGTTTGCCCAGCTTTCACCTGATCTGTTTTTCCACCCCAAGCTTTCAAAGCACTGGCCTGAAGAGCACGGCCAAATGAAAATGTTAGACGCCATGGCTTCTTACCTGAGTAATGGAGAAGGAAAAAATTATCTTTACCCTGACACCTTTTAACTCCCAAAGATTGTGAAGAAGAAGATGAAATGATTAACTGTTGTCTCTGCATCTCCATATGTCTTTTCTTAATTACAGTTTTAATTAATTTAATTAATTTAGTTAGTTTTAATTAATTACAGCTTTGACAAAGAGTTAGCTCTCTCCACATTGGACTACAGAGTTTTAATTTTAGATTAGGGAATAATTATAACATTACTTTTGAGATACATGGAAATAAATACATGCAAATAAATAAATAAATAATAAATTGAACTATCCATCAGAAACAATGACTAAGCAGACACACATCTGTTTGAATTTAGGCATGGATTAGTGCTGAAATCTAGGCAGTCTTCACACTTGTTTGATCTGAAAATGTCATGTGTATGTGACATTTGCTGTGTGGAGAGCATGTGAAAAGCATGTGAAAATGTTACCCTTTCAACACAATGTTTTCACATGCCTATATGCAACAACATAGGACTCATGCTACACTTTAGAGCCTCAAAGATAATTTATGACACATGAAGCCAAATTGTAAACAAAGGCCTCTATGGAAGCACTTGAAGCATTATTCCAACATTTTGTTGGAGAGGGGAGGGATGGGTTACAGAGTGTCTACTATGCTAAAAAACCCATGTTAAAAAATAACACAATTAAAATGAAGGAAATCATCACATTGGCTGTTTATTAGCATGATGGATTAGTGGTAATCAGGAATAGTACCACTAGGAATAAAAACTTGCTTTCAGCCACAGTGGGACTGCAATGCTAGACTTCCTGATTCCTTGTTTGCATTAATAACCCTTCAACTCCCAAGATCTGATTGTTAATTCTCCCCTCTAGCTGCTACACATTTCCTTGTAAATTAGTTATGAGGAACTGTTGCTAGATTTTGATAGCAGCTTCTACCTGATAAGTTTGAATATTCTCATTACCTGTTTGCTGAATAATCTATGGATATTATAGGGAGAAGTTTCATGTTAATCACTTCTGGGAGTTAAAGGGTTAACACCATCAAGACCTGGTGCCTCCTGAAACAGAAAATAACCCAACACAGAAAAACTTGTGTTTCCATTTACCTGGATACTGATTGATAGCATTCAGGTTGACGGATGCTTCCTCTTCAGATTGTCCTCCAGACAAGAAGACAATACCTGGAACTGCAGCAGGCACAGTGCGGGACAAGGCTGTAACAGTAGCTTCAGCATTTTGTTGTGGAGTGTATTTTGTTGGACAAGACTGGCCTAGGGGAACAAAAAAAAAAAAACCTCATGAAAAGGAACATCACAGTAACAGCATGTGATACAAATATTACAATATTACTACAGCTGGGATAAATCAGTTGACAAAACTAATAGTCCTTAGAAATTTGTCGAAAGTTAGGGCTAAGTTGCTTCTCTGTTCTACACCAATCTTGTTTCTTCTTGCTTTGTTGTTGCCTCATTTATATTTGTCTACCCCATTAACTTGTACTCTGCTGACTCCTTCAATTTGAAGGTAGAGTGTGGAGTGAATTGAAGGCAAAGGATACTGCTAAATTCAATAATTCATGTGAAAGCTAGAACTCATTAAAATTAAAATTACTATATTGGTTCCATGTTACAGTAACTCAGCACAACACCATGGCAGGAATATTTAAAATCAGGGTAATTGTCTACAATCCTAAAGATAACATTCTGAAATTTTAGTTACAGGACTGTTATATTGATTAATGCCCCTAATATTTTAAATGTAGAGACCTTTTGCTTAAGATCAAACCATGAATAAGACTGGCTGCACTTAATTGGCCTCTTTTAGTTTAACATGACAAGAAATAATCGTAAATATCATTAACGGCAACAGTGATTTATTCTGTATCATAAACTGCATCTGACCCCGGTAATCCTCGAATGTCAAACAAAATAAACGCTACCCTGAGGGAAACTTGTTCTAACAACCAACAATACTGATTGAACAGCTAGAAATATGTCTTTGACAAACATCTATAAGGTAGTAGCCAAAATTCTGGCAATAAAATTATGGATCTTAGTTTGCAAACGTGGCTAAGCTTACACAGACCACAAGCTTTTTGAATTACATATGGCCACGTCAAGATTGTCGTGAATTATGGATTTTTCTTTCCCACAAATTACATAAAATACACCAAGATTTCAACCGTGACTTCACAACTTAGTTAAAATTCACTAAACTACATTTACAATAAACAAAAATCATATTTATATTATTTGACTTGCACTGCAAACAAACGCACAGGGGGTATAAAGAGGAAAAATGTTTGTACGTCAGCAAACTAGTAAAAAGGGAGGTTTTCAGGTTTTTGCATAGTCAGAAAAGAAACAAAACAATTGACGTCTTTGTGGTTAGTATAAAAGCCAATACTGGATCTAAACATCTCTTTTGAGACATAGAAAAATCAGTAACAAATTAGCAATAAACTGTACAAAATGGAAGCTAATATCTTAGGTTCGCTTACCAGCTGTGACCATGTTGGGTTTCAAAAGCGTTCCTTCCAGATAAATATGATGGTCAACAAGAGCTTTGTAAGTAGCAGAGAGAACAGCTTCCGTGACTTGCTGGCATCGTTCTAAAGAATGATCACCATCGCACAATACTTCAGGCTCAACGATTGGAACGAGCCCATTAGCCTGGCAAATGCTTGCGTAGCGAGCGAGGACATTTGCATTCTCTTTCATGGCAAGCTCGGACGGCTGATTCGGACCAATCTTCAGCACACAACGCCACTTGGCAAAGTCACAGCCATCTTTTTTGTACTGGGCACATCTCTCGGACAAACCATCAAGTCCCTGAGTGGTGCTCTCACCAACGGTTCCAGCCAAGGGCACAACACCTTTGTCGACTTTGATCCCTGGAATAATGCCGTGGTCCCTCAAAATCTTAACAAAAGCCGTTCCATCGTCTGCCTTCTGATAAACAGTTTCGTGGAAAAGAATGACACCACTGATACTGTTACTAAAGCCTGCGCCTGAATTGAACAGAAGCTGTCGGTAAAGGCGACGGTTCTCTTCGACATTTTCAACGCCGATGTTTGCCAGTCGTTTGCCCATAGTGCCCGTGCTTTCATCTGCAGCTAGAATACCTTTGCCTGGAGTCACAATAGCCTCGGCGATTTTCTTCAGTTCTGCCTTCAACTCTGGGGTAAGAGGGGCATCCATGTTGAAAAAGCTCAGGTGAATCGACTGTGTTGAACCTCGCTCAGTCACTCGTCCGATGCAGAGGGCAAGGATTATACGTTCTAAAAGTCTTACGCTCCGTAAACGTGGTATGATTGGTCAGTTTTCAAGAGGTTACAAATAAACCAATCATAAGCCCGTTTATAATGAGCACTGGTTCGTGACAACTCACCCGTATTTTTGTTGAGACGTTGTGTAAACGTGTCATGATGAAAGTTTCTATTGTAAATAGTACGTTTTCACTGGGCATTATAAATTCATTTCCCTTCACAGCTTTTTCAAACTAACACCCACTTTTTAATTATTTTAAATTTAAGTTCCATTTATGGCATTAAAGGGGGTGTGAATGGGGGAGGGACCATGTGCTACAATGAATGGAGGGGAAACTTGGCCCGAGTTTTAATCAAGCAGGCACTGAGATCAGCGGTTAATCGCAAAAATCAAGATGGCGAACAAACTTCTTCGGAAGTGTGTCATTCTAGCTGGCTTTTGTGTGAAAAATCCTCCGCAGAAATCATCAAATTTTTTTAGTAATCGTAACTTGAAGGTATGGATATAATTTTTCTCTACTCTCGAAGGGACTTTTCCTCGTGGCATTTCAAGGAAGGTTGTAAGCACTGGTTGGTTTGTTATCAAGGGGAAGCAGCGAGTTCCTGGTTGATAGAGATCGTGGGAAAGGGTTATTGACCCCCCTCCCACCCTGCCATCTGGCTTACCGTACCTTAGACTTACACCTCCCGCCTATCGTTGTGAAAAAATGAGCTGCACATGAATGATCAAAAAATGCTCAGATTTTTAGAATTTATTTTCGATTTTCCGATTTTTTTCCTTGGCCCCACCTATTCTCTAGGGCACCCTTCCGTCCTCATTGTCTTCTCCCACTGATTGATAGTAAAGGTGATATAAGCTTATTTCTCGTATATTAAAGCCTTTATACGCTTCTATAGAAAGCTGGTTTGGTTGCTATTATATTATTACTACTTGTCCTCACTTTGGAGTGACAATCCTCTTGTTTTTAACCCTTTACACCCAAACATCAGTATTCATATTCTCCATACTGTTCTCTGTACATTTACTAAGGTGCTAACAAGGAGAATTTGTCTAACAATCAAGAGTTTCTTTAGTTGGTGATCATTTCCTTTATTCTCATGACATTAATGTGTGATTCAGTGGTGATATTGTAAGGAGAAATTAGATTCCAGTCACTCTTAGGGGTTAAAAGGTTAAACTTGAATTGAAGGCTTGGAGGGCTGAATTGCATAAAGGAAGAATATGACTAAAATAGAAGTAAGACCTTCTATTTATCAAAAAGGTCTATTCTTTTGAATTTTAAGAGAAACTTAATTACTGATTCTTTATAATTCTTCATTTCTAGGTTTTTAAAACCTCTCTTTATCATACAAGCAGTATTCATTGTAAGGGAGCAGAAATGCAGAAGGAAACACCAGGGACAGACAAAATTAGACCAAGGACTAAGTCACCATCGCACAAGATGCGTGCACGGCAGAAAGAGACAGATCAACATGTGAGCCACTATTTATTTATTTATTTACCATATTACAAGCATTCCCTCTCTTCTAGTACTGAGAAGATGCAGGAGACAGGGCCTATGGCTTTTTGTCCTTATCCAAGAAGACTAGAATGTCTTACCACTTGCAGATATCATAGCAAAGGCAGCACATTCTCCTCAGTTATTTTAAGGCCCTAAGTGTGGGTCTGGTCTGTGTCATGAACCCCAACCTCCCACACAGTAGTCCGGTGCTCATCCACATAAGCTAACCAGGCGGCATTATCTTGGATGATGCGATAAATTGACACTAGCATGTTTCATATGATCAGTTGGTTTAGCAAAGTATAATAGTGGTAAACTGGTTTCCAACCTGACCCTGAAACTTCTTGCAGGATTTTGTTCCAGCAGTACTTTTGTATTGTGTACCACCCCGCTCCATCTTGCTGATATGTCAAGTGAGCCTGGTACAGGCTCACTTGACATATCAATACTTACAGCTACATTTTTTTCCTGTTGATTCATGATAACATTGTTGATAACATCAACCCTTTCACCATCAAGATCTCATTGGTAATTTTCCTTACCGTCTGCAATGCAATCGTTACAATGTTAGTTCGGAGAATGTGGTATTGGATCTACCAATCATCCTCAAATCAATATTCTCATTACTTGTCCACTTGAGACTGTATTGGCATTGTAAAGAGAAATTCTGCCTTGATTATAAACACTGTGGTGACATCAGCTTGGAAATATTTTTGAATAATTTAATTTCAACATAGACTAGAAAGGATTTAACATTTCAACAGATCTTTCCCTCTACAAAAATTGAATTCATACAAATGGACTAGGCTTGTGTTTCCTTTCCTTGTAGGGCTGGATGATTTGTCAAGCCTATGTTACTGGTGAGAGATACAACATTCATGGAATCAATAGTTACCTGGGGAACATGGCAAAATATCAGGCAACATTTATACCAGAAGGTACATAACAAAATAAAAATATACCTCTTATTAACCAAGATCAAAGACCATACTGTAAGTTATAGACCATGTTTTTTTGCTGTTTGGATTTATTTTATTTTAAAGTAAGGTTCCGTAACTTATATTTCTTACTAAGAAAATGAGGTTAGGAAGATACTTATTGTTTCAATTAAAAAAAACCTTTGAATTTTGTGAGGTGTACAGAGAAATACAGTCCACTCAATTGACCAATCATAGTGCTTGTGCCAACAGAGAGATATACTAAATAAAAGTAGGTTATGAGTGCTATACTGGTTTTTACAATTTTGTAATCATTATTTGATATTTTTTTGCCATCATCTATTTTTTCAGATGAGCCAAATGTACTTCGAGTTTGTATTAAAGACAAAAATGGTGAAAATAGTGGAGAAGTGTTCTTCTTTGGGTGAATTTTATTGCTCTTATATTTATTTAATATTAAGTAATGGTGATATATAGGACTGAGTGGAGTTCAATTCATTCTGTAATCATAGGAGTGATAACAAAATTAGACGACCATGTAATAGGAGTCTGTTTGTTTATCACAAGTCTAATTACAGACTGAATTGGACAATGCAAAGTCTTATCACCAATGAATCATAAGAATTACAATTTCTTCTTTTTGAAGAAAGCTTCTAATTTAGGAGTCTGAACACTGTTTCCATGGTGATTGAAATCAAGGTTGTGATTGGTTGATTTAAACTGTAACTTTGAATGTGATTGGCTTATTGAACTGTTCAATAACATGTCCAAGAACAACTTGGCAAGTGAATTAGTGGAAAATAGGAGTTTTTCAACCAATCATGATTGAGAAAATTGTAATTTTTTTGATTAGTGTAACTATCAGAAAACTTATTGTCGAAGCATGGTTAATCAAGCCTTTGAGTATCAGCTATTAATAATTTTGAAATGAATGTTAGGTAGCATATTTATTAATTTTAACTTGATATTTGCTTTGACAACACAGAAAATCAGAAGGCAACTTTTTTTCCCCTTGCCATCAAATAATGGTTGTTAGAAGTTTACTCTTTGATCCCTTTAACTCTCATGAGTGACCAAGAAAGAATTTCTCCTTACTACATCTATACAATATCATGCAGACATGTAATGAGAATAAAGAAAAATATCAATTTAGGAATTACTAATTGATCCGATACCAAATTCTCCAAACTAACTTAATGGGAATCATTTGGCAGACAATAAGGAGAATTACTAATGAGATCTTGAGAGTTAAAGGCTTAAGAGTGACCAGCATCTCATTTCTCCTTACAATGTCACTGCTGAATCATGCATTAAGATCGTGAGAATAAAGGCAACCTTTGATTGTTGAATGAATTCTCTTTGTTACCACCAAGAAGATGTATAGAGAAGGGTATGGAGAATATGGATATTGATGTTAGGGTGTACTGGGTCAAAACATACATGTCAATTTGTGGCAATCATAACACAACAAGGTGTTTTTCCTTTGACAGATGGCTTGGATCTTTGGTGCTATGGAATGTTTGTAGTGCTGAGGTATGAATAATTATTATCAGAAGTAATTGAATTTTGGCATGTGGACACTTTCAAAAATGGCCAAAAAATCAAGGGATCGTTCTTGCTCTGAGTCCTCCAATTATTCTCCAATTGGGTTTACGCTAAGTTCACAAATCAAATCGCAGGCATCCAAAGCTCAGGTTTTGAGAAAAAGCAATTGATTAATTCATGAAAGCGCCATGCATTATGTGATGCAGAACCATTGAGAATTTGGACATCTTATAGGAAATAGTATGAGGAATGAGATATGGTCAATTTAAAACAAATATTTTGAAAGACGAACATTTTATATGTACAAGATTAATAGAACTTACTGACTCCTGAGCTTGGGATGCCTGTGATCACATGTTTGGTGATGTTTGTTATGATTAAGTATTTTATATGTTTCTGCTTTAAAATGAATTTAAAAAGTAAACCAGCAGAAAGTTGAGGGTACTACTTAGGATTTAGAAAAGGCCAGGTGAATGTTATTGAGATATGTACCTTAACAGTCACTGTGACAATTTCAAAAAACCAACCATACAATAAACAGTTCTCCCTGTCACTGAAAGATACCAAAGTGTACTGGTGCTTGTTGAAAAAGTGAGATAATTTTCATAGCCTATTCACATACCCAGAGCTGTGAAATCTTCTCTTAAAACTATTACCTTGAATTTACTTTAAAAAAAATGATTTTAAAACATGATTTCATTCTTCAGGAGCAGTTCTTTAAAAAGATTGCACAGCTGTTCCAAGATGGAGGCCTTGATATAGCACTTACTGACACAGAAGATGAACAACTTTTATTTTCCTACTCCAAGTGAGTGGATTTAAAAATATTTTTTAAACTACCATTTTGAAATTTGTGCTTCCTCTTTAAGTCTTTTATTTTTTATCTCAAAATATATTTTTTGCCTTTATTCTAGAAATTCCACTGCTCTCCACAGTGGAAGGATAATATTAAATGAAAATTCAACGGAAGACATAATGGCATTAGAGAAATATACTTTTTCAAATGCTTTAGCTTTGTCTGGTAAGGGAAAATTGCTGTACAAAATTACCTTTAAGTAGCTTAAGTGCACAGTTTGGCAACCTTAAATATTATACATGTTCTCCACACTTTTTCCTAAACATTTCCTACAGTATTGACAAAGAGAATTTGTTTAACAATCAAGAGCTTCTTTATTTGGTAGTCATTTCCTTTATTCTGAGACTCATGGCCTTAATGTGTGATTCAGGTATGATATTATAGAGAGAAATTAGATGCTAGTCACTCTTAGGAGTTAAAGAGTTAAAAAGACTTCTTATGGCCTAGTGTAATGACAGTGTATAATAACTTAGCAATAACTTGATTTTTGTTTGTTTCTATGCACCAGTTAAACTTGCTATCTGGGAGTCAGTCTTAGATCAATATGTGGAGTCCATACAATGGGTCCCTGAGGTGAGAAGTTCTTAGAGTTTTGAGCAAGCATAGAAAGCAAAACCTGACTGAACACTTTGAATGCAAACTAGTGGCCACATGGAAATGTGTATCCACAGTTTTTAAGCTAGTCATTCTACTTTTTGTTCAGTTTTATTCCTGACTTTAATTAATTTTTATTTTATTTTTAAGGATTTAAGGAAAGGAAGAAAAGTAAGAATGTCTAGAAAAGAAGTGCTAGAGAAAACAGGAGAACTCATTTCCCTCAGGTACTGTTGTGCGTGATTAAGAATTTTATAACTATATTATTTTGTACCTAACATGCTTTATTCTCAGTTAAATGCCTCCAGCACTAAATCCAAACTTAGCCTGGCAAACCAAGCAGGTATTTGACTTTGGAACTTTCAGTTGGGGCTGGAATTTATTACCCAAGGTTTTTACTTTCAACTTGGCATTCACAGATCTGTTTGAAGTATATATTTTAAAGCTGCAAACCCAGTAACAACTGTGAATTTTTACTCCAAAACCTGGTGCTTAATGAAATATGAGGAGTTAGTGAAAAAAAAAATGAGAAAGAATAATTCTATGCTAAGTTTCAATGACACATTGATCCTTATCAGTAATTCTCCCTATTGTCCCCCACATTTTACTTATAGTGTTTGTTTGGAGAATTTGGTATTGGATCTATGAATTATCCACTCATCACCTTATCTACTTGATACTGTAGTAGTATTGTAAGGTGAAATTCTGCCTTGGTCACCCAAGGGAGTTAGAGGAAGAAGTAATTTTTAATTGAGAGGTGGAGGATAGGCTTCGTAAATACTTAACGTCATTCTCGTGCCAACTTCATCTTCATATGAAAACCTTGAAATATAGTGTGTTTCTTTGGCTGAAGTGCCAAGGGTTCATTTATGTACTATTTCTCTGAAACTACTACTAACTTTAGAGTTATTAATTCATACAGTTACAAAGAATGAAAAAGATAATCATTTGTGGAACTTAAATAAGCTTTACAAAGTATTTAGTTCATATTTGCATGGATACATATCCTCGTGCATTGTGTGCCTGTGTCACTCTTAATTTACAGTTCTCTATAGACTTAAAGTCTCTCTTTTTTTTTTGCTAGGTATAAAATCAATTTGTCCTCTGATCTTCTGATGACCCCAGATTTTTACTGGGACAGAGAAAACCTGGAAAACTTGTATGACAAAACTTGTGTCTACCTTGATATTCACAGAAGAACAAGGGTAAAATATGATGTGATGATTAATTATTATGCTATATATTGCGGTGATTATTCCAATAAAGATCATTTCAGTAAAAAGTTCAACCAAGCTGCTTACAGAGAACTGGGAAGATTTTTGGAGATTTGGAGATGCTCCCAGCGTCGAAAACAAGACCAGACCAAAACAGTACAAACTCAGTGGTCATGTAATTTGACTGGGAGTGTGAGTTCTTCAAGGTCCCCTGCTACACAGTGTTTAAGATAAAGGAAACAAAAGCCACTGTTTGTAATCCTTATTCAAGAAGACTGTAATGTCTAAGTGTTTGCTAAGGTCATTAGACCAGCAGAACATTTTCCATGTATAGTTACAGTGTATTTAAAAACTCTCAACATTAGACTGGTCAGGGGTTCGAACCTCGTTCTCCCCCCCCCCCCCCCCTCACTGCTCATTAGTCTATCCCTCTATCAGTTGGTGGTAATCACCAGCCTGCATTTTGGACTTTATAAATCACATTGAATACAAAGCAACTCTACATGGGTGTCAAGCTACACTGACAAATGTTTCTTGTTCCTAGGTGATGAATGAGAAATTAAACCATTGTTCTGAGATGGTGGAGTTGTTAAGAACACATCTCAGTGAAAAACACTCATTCAGGTTGGAGTGGGGAATAATTGCACTTATAGCAGTTGAGGTACTATATTATCACTGGAACATTATCATAAAATTACACAAAATGTAAAAGCAATATCTTATCCCTGTACTCTGTAACATCAGTATGCAGATTCCTCATACTGTTCTCTACACATTTCTGAAGGTACTGACAAAGAAAATTTTTTTAGCAATCAATAGTTTCTTTAGTTGGTGATCAACTCCTTTATTCTCATGACCTTAATGTGTGATTCAGGGCTGATATTGTAAGGAGAAATTAGATACCAGTCACTCTTAGGGTCAAAGGGTTAACAGTGGAGTGTGTTACTATGGAATGCATCACAGTAACCAAAATCAGGGCCTGTTGCCATGGCCCTTCATCTGCAGTTCATTGCACTTTAAAATTGTTTTGATTTTCTCTTCCTTTCAAAAATGCAAACTTGCACCCAAAGAAGTCTTTGTTCCTCCTCTTGACTTAAATTTGGGATACCTTTCTAGAGATAAAGATCAGAATCTCCTGAGTTCTCCACTGGGATAATGCTAATTAAAAAAACTAATATTTCTTTTTATTACTGTCATAGGTTGTCTTTGAGACATTGTATTTAATAGAGAGATACTTTCCATTCAGATGACCTTGGCCTGAAAGAAGACCATATCAGAGCAGCAATCCAAATATTTTGTTGCACTTATAAGGAACCTTAAATGTTTTTTAAAAATTATTTTAGATGACCTTGGCCTGAAAGAAGAACTTATCAAAGCAGCAATTCACAACATTTTGTTGCACTTATGAGGAATCTTAAATGTTTTTAATAAAATTATTTTGCATGACCTTGGCCTAAAAGAAAACATATCAATATCAGTATCTGGGCAACTGCCCACCTACTTCTCCCTTAACTCAACAACAGTCAATTGATAACAAGTTAGGGTTAATGTTGGGTTAGGGGAGGGGTAGGTGGGCAGTTGCCCAGATGCTGATATTGATCTAAAAAAACCATATCAAAGCAGCGATCCACAACATTTTTGTTTTTGTTTTTGTTTGTTTTTTTAAATACATTTTTTATACACTGTCACCAGAATTGTTTTTTATGGTTTTAGTTTACTTACATTTCAATAATTAAAATATATTTAACTAGTAAACTAAAAATCTGAGACAATTTGAAGAAAATACCAGAATGTCTTTACTGTGCCACTGAATGGGAAAATCAAGAAGACAGGTGCTTGTCATTAACTATTTCTACAGGTTTAATTTTTCCAGTGGAGTGTCCAAAGAAAAGAAAACATCCCAACAGAAAGTAACTAAGGTTAAAAAAAAAGTTATGAACTTGGTCAACATGTAAAAAAAAAAAATATATAACGATTATCACAGATCAATCAATGAATAATTCATGTTTCATTATCTGCCTCCCCTATCTTCATATGACCTTAATTTAACGATCTCTTGCAATGGGACTCAGAGAATGATGAACACTAGAAATGTTTATGGGATGTTGATGTTCTTATGTTGCAAAGAAAGAGCCAATCAGGCATTATGTAACTGCTTGTAAACCTCTATGGCCAAGGTAAATAGTTTGTTGTTATGAGGTTTGCACACAAGTCTTTAATTTCCTCATGATTGGTTGGTAAACAGTTGACATGTCAGAATCAAATCAAAGTGTTCATGGTTTTCTGTGTCTCACAGAAACTATTTCCACTCGACTGCAAATCATAAAATTTGCTTTTATTTGTTAAGTAATAGATTATTACTTGCTTTTGGTCAATCCTTTGAGATAGACACTGTGAGAACTTGTCAGTAACACCTATAGATATGTGCTTTAGTTATCAAAACTAAAGATTAACATGGTTAGTTTAATTAACCTTTTCAATCCTAAGATATCATTAAGGAATCTCCTTAATGTTTGCTATGTATTTATTCTGATTTTAATTGTGAGAAATTGGTGTTGGATCAATAACTAATAACCTAGTTGATGTTTTCCTTTCCTCTCGTTACATGTATGCTTGACATTATTATGACATTGTATGCCAGGGAGAAATTAGAAGGGTTAGAAGAAGCAGCTATCTTGCTCTAGCATCAAGTTCTCCTAACTAATTTAAAAGGAAATGTGTAGCAGCTGGAGGGGAGAATTAACAATCAGATCTTGGAGTTCAAGGGTTAATTTATAACCTTAGCATAGGATAAAATGAGTGAAAACTAAGATATATGCCTGAGCTTTTAACAACTGATGGATGCTTGAAACATAATAGCCTCAAAGACAAAACAATTAGCTGCAGGAAAAAATGAAAAACACAAAAAACAAAAAAACATTTAAGACTTCTCAACCCACATAAAGTTGCCACTGCCAGGAGTTTCTTAAATAAAAAATCTTTGGCAAACACTTTTCCCTCTTCATTCTTGACTGTAGATCTAGAACTTGTTGATCTTTTCTAACAAGTTTCATTTTAAATGATCATGTAAACCAACAAGTATTAACTTTTGTCATTCCAATGTTCACTAGGATTCTCTCTTCTTTCCCACACTGAAAATGATGTAAATTTTATTTCATCCATTTCCAAAGCTTCCTGCATTATTGCCTACAAAATAAAAAAATTATTTTTTTCATCATTATGCAAAAATAAACTCATTTTAAGTTACCTGTACTTTGTAACATCTCCACTATAAGACAAATCCATGTGGAAGAGATTGCCCAATCACAACTTAATACTAAAAATTATCATTTTAACCCAGAGTAAGGAGCATCTCTCATTAAATGTTAATGATCTGAAGTCTCAGAGTTACACCCTGTTCAGATGCCAACCTTTTCACAAGACTAATTCCTACTGAGCTATGCTAACAATTTTGAATTTGAATTACATTTTGACTTGGATGCCAAACTTGTATTATACATTGCAAGCACTGTTCTTTTTCTTCAGTATTAACCCTTTACACCCCCAACATCAGTATGCATATTCTCCATACTGTTCTCCATACATTTCCTAGAGTGTTTACAGGGAGAATTTGTTTAAAAATCAACAGCTTCTTTCATTGGTTATCATGTCTTTCATCCTCATCATTTTCATGCGTGATTCTGAGATAATGTTGGGAGAAGTTAGATGTTAGTCACTCTCACAGAGTTCTCCTTTTCAGGCAGTAACCAATAACATTTACTGCCTGTAGTACCTCATTACCATTTAAAATTGCATGGAATTCTTGAAAATTCAACAGGTAAAAGGATTGCTTTACCGGTTTTAAAATTTATTTTACCTGTTATGCATAAAATAAGGGAGAACACTGCTCTTTGTGGGAAAAAGAGTTAAATGAACAAACCTTTGCTTCTGGGGATTTTGTAAATGTGTATGATAAACAGCTACGGAAGGCCTGAAAATATATTGAACAGTCTTCCATACTGCCATAGATGTAGTATTTGTGGAACTGGTTCCAGGATGCTGTCAGCAAAAAATCAACATTTTAAACTTCCTAACATTTTAAGGCTTACTCATTTTTTTTTAATTAATTTGTGTTTATCATAAGATATCAATGACAAGACATTGATGACAATGAGGTAAAAAGTGGTAACACTTACATCGGCAGATTCTAAACTTATCAAAAAAGATATGACAACTTGGTCGCTGCAAAACATAACAAAAAAAAGAAATGATCAGGTACAATTATGACCATCCCAGGTAAGTTGCAACTCAAATCTTTGGCTCCCAGTGGTGATTGCCATATGCCTTCTCCCTATAATATCCATACATTATCCAGAAAACAGGTAATGAGAATATTCCAACTGATCAGGTAGAAACTGTTTTCTTGATTTAACACCAAATTCATGTGACTAATTTGCAAGGAAATGAGAATCAAATCTGGGAGTGAAAGGGTTGAGCAAGAGCAGAAAAGAAGCCTAGAAAAAAATTCAGGATTTAATGGGACTTGAAGATGTTACCTATAAAAAGACAAAGATAGGTACAATATCAAACATGACTTAAATACTAAATCAACATTAAAAATTTATATCAAAACCTTTACAACCTGTAACTCAACGTACTCATATCAAATCAAAATTTAAAATTTATATCAAAACCTTTACAACCTGTCACTCAATGTACTGTCTAGATGTAGGTCTTTATCATGCGTAAATTTAAACTGCAAATCGACATGTACGTACTACACGTGCCGAGTGAACAAGATCACATAAAAAACTTTTCCTACGCTTACAACATTAAAAGCAAATGGATCTTTATAAATTGTGGCTCTCTACGGGTGAAACATCAATTTTTTTTTTCATTGATGAATGAATCACCTCTCTACTACACGTGTGCCGGTAGTTATGATGATGACTGACTGAAGATCAATATTACATCATTCGTTCATGCTAGTTTTCACTAATGTTTTTGATCTGCTGTTTACGAATTTATTGAACGACATTGTTTTCAACAAAGACGATCAGCTTACTTTGAACTCTGTTGCTGCCACTCTATCTTTTTGAGAGTTTTCTTCTCCCAAGACGGTGGTCACAAAGTCGGACATTATTCACTACAATCAATGAACAAATTATTACAGGCTTTTACATCGCAGCTCTGGCAGCTAGGAGTTGGGTTCTAGACAGGGCTTTTTTCCTTATTGAGAATCAAATCGAGGCGTAGGGTTGAGAACGAGGCCAATCGAACGCAAGGGAAAAAGTTCCACGATTATTTGGAAATGTCTGAACCGAAGCAACTCCAGCTTCAAGTCGAAGGGCTCAGTAATTTGATGCAGACTCTGGAAGAGCATAAGGGGAAGAGGAGAACGGTGATGTTTATCGGTGCTATGAATGAGAATGGCGAGAGCTGGTGCCCTGATTGTCGAGACGGTTTGTAACTCGTCAGGAATCTTTCGTTCTGGAAACTATCAGCAAGCTTAATTATAATTCCAAGTCTCCTGTTAAGAAAACTGGATTGGCTATTCCATATTATTAAAATCATTAAGAGATCGGAGCGATACGTTTTCCTAAGCAGTATATTGAATGTTTTTTTGACTGTTGTCGACCATCGATCGTCTGTATTTTTTCAGTCTGGACTACACCCAGTCGATTGTAGATAAGTCAGCTGATTTTAATCACGCACAGTATTAGAGAAGGGAATATTTTTTTTTATGCAAAATTTTTTTTACCATTGCGATCCATGACGATTATGGGAAGAAATCGAGATTTCCTCAAGTTGCAATATTCTTGGATTGATGACATTAATCGATCGAGTGTCAACTACTTACCGAAACGTATGAGTCACAAGAATAAATGAATATTCATTTAAAAACTGAACATACTGTACTCATTGGCGTAGCAATGAGAACAAACTTCTTATTTTCTCTTTTTTTCGTGTCTCATCACTCCCAATTTCTCATCAGTAATTCTTTTTACTGTCTGCTATGCAATTCATATGTTGATAGTTCGGAGAATTTGTTTTTGGACCAACCATTAATCCCCTAATTGACATTTTTCTGTATTCTCATCACATGTCTAATTGAAATTGTATTGATATAGAAATGATAAATTTTCTCTTGGTTACTCATGGGAGTCAATAATTCCCTAGTTAATAATTTTTCGATTCTCATCACTTGTCTGCTTGATATTGTTTTGATATGGTAAGGAGAAATTCTGTCTTGGTTATCATGGGAGTTAAAGGCTGGGCGAAGGTTCACGCAGAATGAGCCTTTGGAGTAATATTATTGTTTTGAAAATGGTGTCATAGTTGTAGAGCTGAAGTTGTAGGGCTGAAGTTGTAAGCCATGAACTGATAATCTCCCTTAACAAATGTAGTTTTCAGTCATAGAACTGTAATTTCTAAGCCTTCAATTTTAAGTTCTGAGAATTTTAAAACAATACCATTTTACTTAATCTTTGATATTGATTTTTAGCTGAGCCAATTGTAGAGGCTGCTTTGAAAAAGGCCCCATCTGATATGGTGTTCATCTTGGTTATTGTTGGTGATAAGCCTGAGTAAGTATGTCACCATTGGTAAAATCAGATAGGATGAAAAAAATTTTTGCTTCCATATTTGTGGTTTTGCATTGTTTGTTATTCTTACAATTGTTTTACCAGCTGACAGCTTTTTATGCAAAGGGGATGAAAGCAAATTCGCTATGTGATATAAAAAATGTTCTTTTCTGTACATTTCCTTTGATACTGATAAGGAGAATCTCTTTAACAATGAAAGTTTCTTAGGTTGGTATCATTTCCTTTATTCTCATGGTCTTAGAGAATGATTGAGCTGTATGCTGTATGCTCCTACAGTGTGGGTTTAAAGGGTTTAGTGAATATATATATATATTGTTAAAAAAGACTACTTCATTGGGCAGGTTATTTAAACAAGGTTAAGCTGTCATCTAACAAACTGTGTTCTGAACTATCTTCAGTTTAGCTGAACCTTTTATCTGAATGTTTTTGTTAACAGTGTCAAGAGGGTGGAAGGTTAACAGTGGAAGTAATATTTATTAAATTAAAACAAAACCTTTTATAGGGAATAACTGAGGCCATTGCTTGTGTAAAACCCAAAGGTGGGTTAGACCTCGTGTAAATAATCAGCCCATAGGGTGTAATACCCATGCTCTCAAGGCAAACATTTGAAATTGTAAGCTTAATTTGGATGAACATTCTTAAAATATCTCTCATGTCTAAACTAAGCAGAAAATAGAACTTGACATTATAACAGGCTTTGACCTTGTAACTCACATGAGTTACTAAGGCAAAACTTCCCTGTACAATATCAATACAATGTCAATTAGACAAGTGATGAAATTAATTAAGGAATGGCATTAGTTGATCCAATATCAAATTCCCTGAGCTAACATCACAGGGATTGTATTATAGACAGTTAGGAGAATTACTGATGAGATCTTGAGAGTGAAAGGGTTAAATATCTACATGTTTATGTGGTGATGGTGACTAGCTATCATATAGTTGGCTTTCATGCAGTGGTATTGTTGCTTAAAAATCAGACCCAGCTTGTGCAATTGATACTGCAATAACACTATCTGCTGGATATTAATTTCTATCTGTCCGATAGCAAAGTACATTTTGTTAACAGTTATCTGCTGGATAGCAATTTAACCAATAGATAAAGTTATACCTAGAAAGACTGGGGCCAGGTGGTAATTACATGATTCATTTTTGTTTCAATAGGTGGAAATCACCTGATAATGAATTTAGAACAAATCCTGCTTTCAAACTGAAAGAAATTCCAACAATCGTGGATTATGGCACTGTAAGTGAACTTGATGTTGATACTGGTAATTTGCAGTTATTAAATTGATTTAAATGTTTTGTCTCTCTGTCAGACTTAAATGTATACGTGGCAGACACAACAAAGTCCAGTCCCTTTTTTTTTCTTAAAATATTTAGTTCTGAAAGTTGTAGGAGAACAGCCATTCTTGATTGATGCACTGTTCCCCATTGCCTATTTAGTGAATAAACACATTTTGCATGAAAGGACTCACCTCAGATGCCTTTTTAGTTCAACTTGATAGATGGGTTGTCAGTAAAGCATAGGAAGTAACATTTCTTTAACAATCAGCTGGTGCCATCTACTCTTAAAATAAAAAAAAATAATATTTTTCTATCATCATCTAGCCTAGCCTTTTGATGATCTTTACATTTAATTTTTTTTATTTTTTAGTTTGGATTTGATTTCAGGTATATTATTACCATTTTAAATCACTATCACCATTACCGTATTATGGTAAAACATAAGTAATAATAAGAAGTGAACTTTATTAGCATATCTTGTATCTATCTTGGTACAGTAACTGTAACTCAATATGCAATAAGATAAAATTTCACACAGACTCACAATACAATCATATTCTATATCAGTGTATTCTATATTCTTTATATAGCTAAAATTAATTGCATATTAAAATCTAGCAATTAGAAAATGTTCAAAAGTTGTCCATAGAGTGTGAGTGTGTAACTTGACCTATGTGCACCATCATTACCATCCAACAATCATTATTGCTATAATTATTATTAGTATAGTATCAGTTATTATTATTATTATTATTATTATTATTATAACTTTCCTGATATATTTATTTTAATTGTTATTATTATTATTATCATTATTTTTGGGTATAGTGTGGCATCCATGAATTTGTCCAAGTGACAGTCTAGTGTCAGTGCAACTGACATCATGACGCAGATTTCTTAATTTATCACATTTTTTATTTTTTCAGGACAAAAGACTTGGTTGTGAAGATTGCAAAAATTCAGAGATAGTGGACAAATTCTTTACAGAATGACAAGATAAATCATTGTCTTTGTCCTTCACCCTAAGCTGTCACAGCATAAGTTACTTTAGGCAGTGTACCCTTTCACTCTGTTTCTGTCCAGTAATTAGTTGTGAAATGTGCCATGCCTGTAGAACAAGTTATACTGATTTCTTCAACTGTAATTTTGCCCAACTTTACTTTATTTTCAAAATTCTAATTTAAATAATTTATAAAAATTAATATAAACTGTATGGGTCTTGCAAGTTTAAAAGAAATGAACAATAGAAGTGTGACTTATTCTTCAGTAAGAGAATAAAGGTTTCATCCGTTAAATATTTTTTTATCAATTTTAAACATTATTCAAAGATAGGAAAATTTTGCTTTTAATTTACTGTGAACATCAACCCTTTCTCTCCCAGCAGTGATCAAGATTTAATTTCTTCTAACACTACCATTACATTATAAAGCAGACAAGTGATTAGGATAAACAAAAGTATCAACAAAAAAATACAATTTGAATTAAATCCAAACTCCCACAACCAACATTATGAGAAATGTAGGGCAGACAGTAAGGAGAATTACTATGTTGGGAGGTAAAGGTGTTAAACAGTTAGTTGATTCCCTGATAAAAAGTAGAATATATTTTAAATTGACTGCCTGTCACATTTTGCAGCTAATGATACAAATAGATTATCTTAAATATGGTGAAATTAAATATTTGAATTAAGCTTAACTTCCTATTTTTTCTGATGTTGTGAACCGAGAAGAGTTAGAAATATTTACCAGTATTAGAGTTATTTTTCTGGTTTTGTGTATGTAGTTGTAGTGACTGATTCGTTTTCAACTACTTCTGTCGTAAATACTTTGCCTTAAAGCAATTGACAACAGTCAATAAAGCTTTGATGAGATGAAACTGTGGTTAAGCTGTCAATCAGTGTTGGCTTCGAGCTGCTTTGTGTGAATTCACATGATTCCCTCTAGTTTAGGCGGAAGCAGACCCTTGTTATAGGTGAATAATGGGGTAAGTTTCTAAAGAAACTGTGATGCTGCGTCAGTGGGAGATTATAACAGGGTAATTTAGTATTATCAATTGAGTTGATAACGTAAATTGGCCACCGTAAAGAGTTTCAAAGCTGACGTTTCGAGCGTTAGCCCTTCTTCAGAGCAAATGGCTTACGTAAGAAAGTAAAGAAAGTAAGAAAATATCAGAGAACAAAAAATGGATGTTAGCTTCCGTGTGGCGCGTAAACATCAATTTTATTCGGATTTTATTTTTACTCGTGCAACGGATTTAGCCGAAAAGCAGGGACTGCTCGTAGTCTAATCACATGATACTAAGCTGTCGTCATTTTGCTTACTCGTCGATGATTGGTTCATTCTTGGAAGGGGGTAAAATACTCAACTTTGATTGGCCAGCATCCGGAAGAAGCGGATCGTCTTGATCTTAATGCGAAATAATGATTGAGGTAACAAGAGAAATAAACTCTTTCTCCTCTCGCAGGTAGTCGAGATCAATGCCCTCTGTGCGTCTGGTAAGGACGTTAAGTCTTCTATCTATTTTTTGTAATCGTTCCTCTGTGCACCTAAGGAGACTTTTAAAATTTAAGCAAAATGGTTCTGCATCAGAGTGACACATGTTAACAAAAGTTGCATCATCACAAAATAATCTTAACTCTGGTCGCTTTTTTTCTTCATGAAACAACTCCATGAAGCGCTCCCCAATGAAGTGCGCCATTTCAAGCTCTTCTGCACTTTCTGCATTTTCCCGGGCATCAGCGTATGATTCGTTTAGAACAGAAACCAGCATATTCATAAGAACTATCGTCATCATTATCATGAATGACAGAACAAAGGTTGGGCCGATGAAGGGTTTATCTTCGCGAAGTTGAGCAATTGGGACTGCTTTTCCTAACAGAAATTGTAATTGTGAAAGAACTGCGAATAAATAACTGGAGTAATGGGGAACCAGGCCACCAAAAAGCTGCATTCCCGTTACGACAAAGGCGTTGAAGACTATGAAGAAGAAAACCAAGTAGGACAGTTGGTACCCAACAGACTGACGGAACGATGAAAATAAATAAATGACGTAAGGATTGAAACGAATCAAATTCAAAAGCTTCACTGTTACCATGAAAATGGCGAGGGCAATGGAAGCGTTCTCCCAGTTTGCCCAGTTTAAAGCAGAGTGAAAATGAATTATTTCGAAGGGATTATTCTGAATAGCTTTAATGCTGTTCAAGATTTTCTTGGATCTTATCATATAGCTCATGACGGACGTTATAGAAGAAATGATCATTAAGAACTCCACCATATTCCAGACGGATTTGAAAAATGCAAACCTCTGTCGGTAGAGGTGATACAGCATCATAATGAAGAGGAACAACACCATTGCCAAGAACAAAAACTGACAAATGAGATAGAACATAACAGCCCCCGACTCTGTAGTATATAGCTCAAGTGTATCCACCCTCATTGTAGTGTAGGCTGCACCAGACGCAATCATTTCGTAGATGAATGTAGCAATGCTAATCAGGTTCGTATTGATATTAAACGCTGCAAATTCTAGAACTACAGCACGGGTATGACGATCAAGCCATCCAAGGCCCATAGTCTCACCCAAGACGCTATGCGCTGTTTGCGCATCGTACCCCAAGACGGCTACGTAACCGCCTCCTCCATAAGTGTTGTATACGGCTTTGACAGGATCGATGCCGAGCTTTTCAGCTTTCTGGTAGCGCCATGGTTTTGGGCAGATTCGAAGAGCCTCTGGCCATGATGTATTGTCTGGAAGTGGCCTCCATCCGGGAAGGCTTAACTCTGTTGTATCCTCCATCTCTGGAGAGTAATCGTAGTAGCAGTTTGGTATAATTTTAGGCATTGATTCACAGGGACCTTGAAAGGAAAAAGAAAACAGAGTACCGCAAATGAGAGGGGGTTCTGAAGTCTGAAATGGAGAGGAGGAGGGAGGGGGAATTTTATTTGTCAGAGCTCTTTCTGGTCTGAATTCCATTTCCATTCTTGTTTTTAGCTTGTGATTCATATTTCCAGTGACTCAAATTCCACCTCCCCGACCGTGAAAAAAAGTGCAGATCCCAGTTTCCACGTTATCTCTTCGAGCTCCTCTAAAAGACTTTCAACCGATCACGGTTTTGATTAAAGAAAAAACGACAACAACCGAAATAAATTTATAACCTACTTTGATGAATTCTCAATTGTCGCATCCGAGGCATGCCAATCAAAATAGACATCTTATTGATGATGTACACATCCTTTTTCTCTTCAAGGCCATTGTACCAGGATTGGTCATAAATGTTTGGCAGAAACTCCTGTCTCATCCATACCCACAGTTTCTTTGAGTCAGTGACCTAAATCACAGATCACAGGATTAATGTGAACTGAAAAGTTGCTTAAAGAGAACTTAACATACAAGATAGTGTATGTTAATTGGAAAAACACCTGTTACTGCAATTCTTATCGGATTTCAACCAATTCAGTCATGGACACCTAGGGAACTACAGACCAGTTACTTTTCACCGCCGGGTGAGATGAGGAGGGGGGGGGGGGTTAGGTGGGATTTTGGGGGGGGATCACATGGCTTTCAGGGGTAACGGATGGGGGGGCTGGGAGAGGATCATTTGTTACAAACAGAGTAGAAAGGGAGTACTATAGGAAGTGGACTACTGATCAATTGTCAATAAGACGGGGATTCTAGGAATGTTACGGGGCCTTAGTGGGAAATCTGGTTAATTTTATTGTGAGACAACCAAAATCCTCCAAACCCCCACCCCAGGCAATAAATAATGATCTGTACCTTTTTTTTTTCTTGTGACAAGGTAATTCGATATTATCAACTGAGTTGATAACGTAAATTGGCCGCAGTAGAGGGTTTCAAAGCTGACGTTTCGAGCGTTAGCCCGTCGTCAGAGCGTATCCCTGCTTTGCAGTTAGAATATCAAACTTTCAACTCTCCTTTCGGTGACAGGTTTAACTTCTCGACTCAAATGATTCATTACAGATATTCTGTTAGTCTATAACATGGCTCATTCAGTTGCATATACAGAAATGCATTTCCTTCAAAAAGGCAATAAGTATAAAAGGAATTTGAAATGATTTCTTCTTTGAATTACTTAAAAGAAGTAGATCTTACCCGGTCGAACTTTGTGAAAGAATTCCTCGTTGCGATTGTCATTAAGAAACGATTTCCATTCTTGTTTCCGTAAGAGACGATAGACAGGAGAAACATAAATATTAAATGGAGGACGATTTGTCTCGCCATACTTGTCAGTTGAGCCTCTTTTCTGCTTCGTACACGCATTTTTTCCATGAGATTCTTTTTAAAGCGTTGCTTAGGGTTTTCACTTAGGAAATCTATGTCATCATCTGGTGGGTCGCCCTCTTCCACTTTGTTCTCTTGTTGGTCTTCTTTTTTATTTCTACTCAAAAGGAAGGAAACGCCGAGAACTGCTAACATGACCTTTGTCGGTTGGGTAACAAAAATATCTTGTCCATTTGAGATAAGAATGGATGCGAGCCATTGCTCAGCAACCTCTTTTCCCCACATTAAACTGTAAAATAACGTGAACGCTGCAGCAGTCACGGTGGTCATAAAGCAGAGAAACCAAGCCATGTATATACAGAAATGAGGCAGCATACAGCCTTTACCGTTTACTTCATCGATGAGTTGTTGTACTTGGTAGGATTCTTCATATTTGTCTGCTTTTTTCTCTTTGGTTCTGCTAGACTTAAACAGAAACACGATGAGGACGTTCACTGGTGCGACTATGATGCTACTTTGTACTCCAATGACTATCTGTCTCGTGGAAAATTTGAATGGTCCGATCTGTATTGCTCCTACCGACTCTCCACCAATGTTGTAAAACATGGCATTAGCAATCATGGCACTGAAGAGAACTGAAAGACAACACGACGCTCTTTGCACGCGCGTGAAAGTACTATTGCACGCTTTTCCAAACACTGACATCCACAAATGACTGTCGGCTAGTTTCCTTCCGAAGCGTGATCTCACCTCTGCTGAGAAGGAAGTAACACCTTTGCTTTCTACGCTAACCTCTATTTGCCCATCGTCTTTTTCTAGAGCAAGCCATCTATTTACGGGGAACACCCACTGATCCTTCGTTTGTCTGTCTCTTATTACCACTGCCTCTACAAACCAAGATGGACTCTCACCCGAATTATCGTGTTCCAAAGTTATTTCATTTAAATTTCCTAACGATTCATTGGTAACTAGGACAAAACCATTTACACTTCCTCGACCGAACATAAGGTTCAAACCTCCATTTCGTCGCAGGGGAATTTGGTCGTGATCTTCATTTTCCCCTTTTATGCTAATTGTTACGTTTGCAGTTGTTGCTGAATCCCTCCAGACGCCAGTACTAATAACCATGTCGTAATAGTAAGTTCCTTCATCAGCAATATTTACACGTTGTGGTGAGCAAATCTGCAAGTATATACTCAAATGATGACAGAAATATGATTTATTAGAAATGGAGAGATTTTAGAACTTGAGCTCGGTAGGGAAATAAATGATTGTCATTCGTCTAATCACGAACGTGGAAGGAGAAAGAAGTACGCCAAAATACCCCAAAATGCCCATTTCCCATGAGGAATGGAACCCAAGACTTTTAAATTCCGCGCTCTTATGGTCTACTACGGAGTCATTGAGACTCTATGGTGAGTTATGCCATAGTTAAGTTTTTATGTGACTCACGTCTGGCATATAATGCTAAGATCGATAGTATCGAAAGCGTCATGCGAGTATCAACATTTTCCTTTGTTCCTCTGCTCAGCACAAAATTCACCACCTTTCTTGTTCCAATTAATGACACCTTTGCGTATTCTGGCGCGATCTTTAATCCTCGGTCACTGATTTCTTAGAAATTATGTTCGTAGCCGAGATTCAAAGGCTTAAGCCTTTGGAGTAAATCTGCCTGAGGGGCGGTTTTTTCCAAACCTTAATGATTTCCCTTAAGTTATTTTTTGATGAAGAATGAAGAACGGGTACGATCTTAGCTGAACTGCGTAAGGACATCCCTAAGAACCTCCGCTTATTCTCCTCAAAATGAAATTACCATTAAGGAACTTGCGAGATACGTGTAAGCTTATTCTAGAAAAGCAGATACCATGAGTTTTAAAATAAAACAAGAGTAGAAGGATTCCCTTTCGGAATGAGGTTATACAGGAGACTGGGTATCTAAACTTTATCTCTAATGCTGTATTGAAAGTCTGGTAAGTACACATGGAAAACTTTGTACATACTATACTACGTTAGCAAAATTAATAATAGGGACCTTAAGCAGTTAGGACGGCAACGCCGAGGAAGACTTCGATTAAGAGATGAATTTCTGCCTTTCATTAGAATTTCGAAAATGGCTGCATGTGTTTACCGTCTCATATGGCGCCACACCTCAACTTCAGCACAACGTATAAAAGAAGTGTTGAGTTCCAAATGGAAATTTAAATAATTTGCCGTCGCGGTTTCGGTTCGCGGACGACGCAAGTTGTGGTGATTTCACGTTGTTGTTTTGCATGGAACGGCTAGGAAATGTACAAAGTCTTAGAACGCATGTGCTAAGCGATTGTTCTGCCAATTAGATCTTTTGTTTTTTCGTGTCCTCGTTGCCGTCGCCGTCGTGATTTGCTTAAGGTCCCCACTGTAATGGGTAATACGGTCATGGGTTCAAATCCAGTACAGGCCTAAATTTTTGTCAGGCCTTATTTTCACTACCGCTTATGAAGTGTCCATTATTCCGAGGATCGCTTTCATATTCAAGAATAATACTTACGTTGCTCTCATCTTTTCTGTCAGCTCTCCTCGCAAACACCAACACGATGAAATAGGTGAGGAACACACATGCAATTGTCACAAGCACCGATATGTTGCCAGACTCACTAAGACGCGAGAACTCTGTGAAAACTTTGTCAAAATCAATAGGATTGGGTTTTTGAATGAAGTTTCCACCAAAAGACGTCAAATGATTGCAGAGGCATTTGAGATGCGTTGTGTTGGAACCTGAATCGACCTGCCATAGAAAGATCTTGTATGAGAAATAAATTCGTGGAGTTCATGTTTAAGCTTTTGCCAGGTAATCTTATTTAAAATTTTTAAAGATTATTATGAAGATGTCGCAAATTGAAGAAAGATGCAAAGCAGGGTTCACGAGCCTAATGCAAAAACGAAAAAACTCAAGCCAAAAAAAACAAGCATCTTTCTATTGAATGTCGTCAAACAAACACCTTGGTAACTGTAACGTCCAGTCAGATAAAAGAAATTTCAGCAAGCCAACTAGAACTCGAGGTAAAGCAAGAACACTGTTTGAGGCGCGGGAAAACCCAAGTGAACAAGTCACGTGTGGTTTTAGTCTTGCCTCTAATTGGTCGAAAGGGTAAGGTAGTTTTTTCAGAACAATTACGGTACGAAGTGAAGGAAAACCATTGCAATCGCGAATAACTTTGGACAGCCAAGGTATTGAAAAAATGAATTGCACAATCTTGCTACTCTGGATAGCCCAACTACTCTGCGACATCAATGTCGATTTGAAATACTCCACAGATTACCGCTGGATTGAAATTGAATCCTTATCAATGTACCTTGCAACCATCAGAAGTCCACTTTTCCTCATCTTCAGACCAATACAAACAACTCGACTGAGTTACAGTGAAAGTGTAGTTGACATCAGAGCGTGGGTCATATTGAGGTACGACCGTCTGATGGACACCTTTAGGGGGAGGATCTTTGACACCAACACAGGATCTTCTCTGACGCCCTTGGCCAAAGCAGGACCTCTTCTCTCTTGCATGTTTGCTTTCAGTTTTTGATAACTCCAACAATAAACCAATATATATGAGAGTTGGTTTCGTCGGAAGAACTGTGATGGTTTTCTCGTCGAGATGGCAAGAAGATTCGTTCGGTACGACCTTAGTCATGTTCCCGCATATCGAAGTGAACCTAACAGTGACGTTAAGATCAGAGCTCTCCGTTGAAGGCCTCGATCCAAATTTCACAAGCAATTTAATAGATGTGTTTGTTCCTAGTACGCCTAACGTGATGAAAACAGGTACATCTGCTAGCTCTGCGTAGTAGCTTCGGACAGTCAATTGGTGGGGCTTCAGGAAATGATGTTCGATCACTGTTTTGTTGTTGGTCTTTGAGGGTGGGCTGGAAAGTGGGATGACGATTTCGATGTAGTTATCCAGGTTTGTAACATTCAGTTTTGCTCCATTTTCCGATTGAAGTTCAAGACTTATAACACTGGATTGGACTTTCGTGCTGCTGTTATCCCAGCTGAATGGATTAAAATCAACAGCTTTCATCTGCCAAATGAAATATGGAGAGAAGAGTCGGTGGACTTGTTTAATGCTGTTTTCTAACGTACCAATGTTTTCTTTTTCCTATCTTAAGTTAACATGTTGCTCGTTACAATGAAATTGTGTCGCATTTTCGTTCAAAGCTCTTCCTCATTGAACGAGACAAACTTAGAAAACCTCGGACTTTGGTTTCCTTGACTTTTGGACGAGCTATACTGAATGAAAATTCATAATAACGAGATGTTTATATCAAAATATGTATTTGAAATTTTCATAACTAAGACGAAAAGAGGTTTATTCGTCTGTGGGAAGTCGCTGGGCTTGAATTGCACAACTTTTCGTCTATTCAAATAAATAGATTCCATGTTGCCGTGGGTCTGTTCAATGACCACATATGACTTCAAAATGTGGTATCAAAAAAAGTGTGGCACACAAGGCGCAGCAGAGTGTGTGACTGATGTTCTCATCATATTTTGACGTCTTCTCTGATCTATTGCTGAACAGACCCACGAGGGGGTCGTCCTCCTATAGATCATATGTAAGAAACAACCAAATACCTGCATTCTTCAGCTCATTATAGAAAATTTTGTCGTAGAGTTCTAAAGCACTATACCTTTGCATTGATATTTCCATCGCCCACATTTCCTAGGTCTCTTGGTAATTTAAATTTTGTAGGCCCGTATTCCATACCTAGACCCTTAACGTCATTAGCGGACACCTTCTTTAGGGAAGTTGTCAAGCCGGGCGATTCAAGTACAAGATTTTCTGAGGGAACCAGGCGAGCAAAGAATGCATCGTTCATAGCGTCCAACTTTTGAACAGCCTTTTTCACACTATCCTGTAATAGTAAATTGATGAAAGCTAATGTTGTTGCGCACTAAAGATCATTTCTCGAAAATGATTACCCCATCACACAAGTCACGCTTGACAGAGATACTTTGCGACCGTGATTTTTCCCTCCTTTTTCCATTGCAACCATGGTGTACTTTGCGTTTGTCTCAGCTTAAGCAAAAGCGAGCGATGTGCCTTAAGTGCAGGAAAGTATGAGTCACTTGGAGACTGATTGGTTAAAAGTATGGCGCCAGGTTTCTAGACCAATCAAAATCGAGCAAAGCGTCCGAAAGCGTGGGAAAATAACTGCTACTAATCAGTCAAAAAGATGGTGCGAGTTTTCTAGAGCAATCTCAAAGCTTGGCCACGCAAAATGACTGCAATCTTGAGCTACTTACCATACCTTTTCAGTGAGAGTAATGGTGTTTTCCGTGGAATATCCGCTTGCATTATTCGATCTCGAAGTCGATTGAAGAACATTCTTGAGACATGCCGTCATACTCTTCGCCGATTCCTCTAACTCCGCAGAAAAAGGCTCCTCAATGTCACCAAGGGCATATCTCAGCAATTCTGTTGTCGTATCAGTCAATTTCATCGTTTCGTTCTTAAAAAAAAGTAAGGTAAAGTCTATAGTCGAGTCGAGTGGCCCACCCAGCCGGAGCTTTTCCCGGTTTCCTCGACATGAAGCGACGAACAGTACACTACTCCCCCCTGAATGGGATGCTGGTCCATTGCAAGGTTACCCTTTAGCATTTGATCAGGCTTCCCTGACAATTTGCCGTTGCTCCTTTTACTCATTGGTAGAGAGCGGCACCCTAAGAGTTCAGTGTTCTCTCAAGAACGCAACGCATTGACTCGGCCAGAAGCCCGTTTCTCGAAAGTCACGGTAACTTAACGGGCCCAAAGCCATGTTTTGAAATAAAATTTCAAGATTGGAGATGCAAGTTGTGGCACTCTAATCACTCCATTTTGTTTCTTTAGATGAAAGTTTTATTGTATAGTTCTCAAAACTTGTGAAACCCCCCACTTTGAATGAAAACAGAACGGCTTTACGGACCCGTGAAGTCACCAGAGCTTTCCAGAAATGGCCTTCAGGTCTCGAAACCAAGACTTCTCCACCTGGACTTCTCGACCTAGACTCCGTTACGTCACCGCGTCTCCCGCGTTCATCCTAAAGATAGACACTTTATCTCAATACCTAATACAACATCTTACAATTCTAGTGTTACCCTGAGAAGAGTCTTGACGTGATGAAGCTGTTGACTCTTTGCGTTAAGAGATCAAATCTAAAAAACATAATAGTTATGTATTTTACCGCAGTTTTTCCACAGCTATCACAGTCCTTGGTTTCTTGGTCTCCCCCTGCCATTCTGACCACACTCATAATCATTCGAGACATCTGAAGGTCCTCCGGCGTAATGGAAGTAAATTTTTCCACTAAAGTGCTGGAAATCTACTCCAAAAGAAAAAAAGAAAGATTGAAGTGAAAACGCAAGAGAATGTCAGAACCGAAAACGTGTGGTTTTGTACAAGGAAACCGCAATCGGAACCAATGTCAGTATCTAAGTCCTGCCCACCCACCCCTCCCCTAACCCGACATTAACCTTACTTTGCTCAGTTGCCTGTTGGTTAGTTAAGGGAGGGGTAGGGGGGCAATGGCTAAGATACTGACATTGATTCCTAAGTTGTTTGTCCAGATCAACGTTAACAACACTACTGCGAAGAGAGGGCGGATAAAAAAGCCAAACGTCTGACAGGAAACATTCTTTTTATTCTTTGTGGCTTTCTAAAGATGTGTCAGCGGGCGAGGGGTCGTCTTAAATGTAAAAATTTGACTTTCAATACACCTACTAGTGCTTTCGTATCTTGGCTTAGTGGTTGTCCGCACTCTGTTTTCTCGTTGGCTGACTTGAGGACACTTAAAGCAAGCTGGGAAGCCTTGCTGATTTCACCTATTTTTAGAAATCCATCCAAGTTATTGTTTTTTCCAATTATTAAACTTTTCAACTCTTTGGCAGCCCGCTCTTCCACCGTTGAGGGGCAAGTATGAAGCCCCGAAGAAGGCATCACCTGATGAAAAGGAAGAGAAGGAACTCATTAAGAATGATGGTGTTTGGTCTTGTCCCGAGCGTGGGACAAAGAAAAAATTCTGAGTCCACTGGAGGAGTCGAACCATAGACTTTCGAATTCCGCTGTTTGACGCTCCGCCACTCAGCAACAGAAGCCATAAAGTGCGAGATAAGCGTAGGAAACCACCACGCGAAGCGGAGTGGTTTCCATCTTATCGAGTGTTCTCCCAACCTCCCAAGTGTTTACATCAGGCTATGTAAACATGGAAACCATTTTACATTTCTTTTATAAAATAACTAATGAAAGAGCCTCTTCTTGCAACGAAGGAAAGCGACGTGCTTGTTGTTGTTGTTCAGTTGGCTTTTCGGCCGTTTCTTGAGTACTGGGAAAATTACACTCCAAAGAAAAATTAGGAAAATCTTCTTCTTCCATTACTGTACTCAAAACAAACTTAAAGAAACTGAGTTACTGCTAAATAAATAGCAGGGAGAACTCCGCGAGAAGAATCAGTATGACAACCGTGTTTACATACGCTCATGTAAAATGGTTTTATGGCCAATCAGAGCGCGCGTACTATTTGAATTATTTTATAAAGGCAAATATTAACTAACTTATCTTAAAAGAGTCAAAGAGGGCCATAAATTTGTATCGTTACCTTTACGGCAAATTTCTCAACAACAGCCACCCCAACAGCATTCTTGATGATGACATTGACTGTTAATTTGTAATCGTTTTCAGGTGAGCCAGAAGGTAAAACTGTCGTCACTGACTTTGAAGAAATGCCGTAAGAAATTGGATCTTCTTCAGCGCGAAATTCATAGGTCAGCGGTGTACTTTTATCTTGCCAACCGTAGCATTCAAATAAGAACTCCGTCTCCATAGACACACCCTCTGCGGCTGATGGCCTGCAGTACCCACTGTGCGGCTGTCCAGCGGTCTCAAACTCGAGCACTGCAAACCCCTCTGTTCCTCCTGGCGATGTTGCAAATAAAGCCAAGCTATATTTGGAATTCGACTGCAAAGAATTCTTCCTAATGATCATGTTGGTAGCATTTATTGCAGTTGATGTCATGTTGGATAAATTAGTTACTGGTTCCCACCGATTGGAATACAAATCCATTCTATTTAAAATCCACCTGTACTCTGAACCATTGCAAGGCGAATTGAGACATTCTGACGTTACTCGAAGCTTGTTAGAAGCCGACACAATTGCGCCACAGTCGACAAAACACCTTAAACGAAAAAAGAGGCATTAGGTACCGGTCGATATTTGTCGCGTGGGGGAGGGGAGGGGAAGGGGTAGAGGAAACGGAAGGGGATCAGTCGTCGCCAACAGAGTTTACAGAGGGACTATAGGAAATTGACTGCCAGTTAACAGCCAATGAGGAGGAATGACATGAACATAACTACGGAGCCCTATTGTGGGGAGGGGGGAAGTAACATCTGCTACATCTGGTTTTGGTGCATTGCGCATCACCTAACACCGTAAACTAAATACGATCTTTAATACGCTTAATATAGGTGTTGGGTCTAAAAAAAAACACTCAATCTTGGTCTCCAGATCTGACTAAAGGAGTGTCAGCTGAGTTCAGCTTCTTTATTTTTATAGGTTTCGTTTTGATATAATAGAAGACAAATCTCGACTTTGGATTATGCCGTTTAGCACAGGTTTCAATGTTCAAATCTTGGTACGTACCTTAGACTGATTTGAGGTATTTCGTTAGCGGCAATCTCAAAGGACATTTCCGCAAAGTCACTTCTATCATCCTTAGACACAGTCAGCCTGAGAACGTAGGTTTTATTACCAAATGTAAGTCTTTTAGGATCAATTCTTACTGCTGTTAAGTTACTTTCTCCGACAAAAGACCCGAAACAATCATTGCTGAAGGAGAAGTTTTTTACAGGGTCATAACAAGACCAGGTGAAGTTAACTCCAGTGTGGTTTCCGGGTCCAATATCCGCGTCGTAACTAAGTGAACCGTCCACTGTAACAGCTTTGCTCGACGACCAGCGAACTTTGCTTCCTCCGTCGATTATAGCTCGTACAGGACCTTTGACAACTTCTAGAAAACCATAGTCAAAAGCAGTGAGAATTTGTGAGGCATCTAGATCCCCAATTGTGATAGAAGCAGTGAATTTGACTTGATAGATGCCAGCCAGAATGGATCGCCTTTTTATGGTCCATTGTGTTGTTCCTTGACTGACTAATGTTCCATTTGGTGACTCAGAAAGTTCCAGCTCCCGTTCGCTAATTAAGCGCCATTCCATGATGCTTTCCAGTATAGATACATCATCTCGTAGTCCTGCAATATTAGCCTGATAGACACTTTTCTCAGAACGCTTGATAACAGTTGCCTTGTATTTGTCCTTGGAGATGTTTCTTATCGCTACAGAGAAGTCTCCTATGTGCAAAAGATCATCAAGTTCAGGCGTATATAGGAACTGAATCTGCGACAGATTCAAGATAATTTAGAAGACCAATAATTAAGTTACATATGGTAAATCAGGATAAGGACATCTATCTATCACAACCCAGGAAAACGAATTTTGATACAGAGTGCATGTTTTTCGAGAGGCCCTTAACATAATCGACGGCAACAAGAAAAACAATTTCAATGATGTATTTTCAACTCCTTAGTTCGCATATTATTGAAGAGCGCAGCAAATGTTTGCTTTTCGTGAGTACTTTACTTTAGCCCTAATTTGGAACCCAGATTTTTACTGTTTACCTGAAATGACGCGCAGTCGCCGGAAAGTCTGGGTACGAGACTACCTAGCCTGGATCTT